TCACAGATCGAAACACATATCAAAGGTAGGAAGAAACTAACAACAACACTATAACAAATTTGTGGACATCATATATCGAAGGTGGGAAGAAATTAATAACAACGCTATAGCAAATTTGTGGAGAAGGGTACAACGAAGGAGATTTGAGAGTCCTTCGCCAAATTGTATCAAGAGCAAACACATATTGGACTTGGTTTATTATGATGTGTTGGAATCACCAGTATTATCCCTAGGAGAGGCCAAATATTTTGTGTTAGTGGTGACAATGATTATACCAGGAGATTATGAGTGTACCGCATCAAGATGAAGTATATGTTTTCAAAGTTTGGGAAAGATAAATTCTTGGATTATGCTAACAATGTGAATGAGTATTTTTTGTGGATCCCACTATCCACAAGGTTATTGTTAGCAGTTATACATATATGATTTTTCTTCAAGGTGAACTTAGAGAAATGATTGATGTGCTCTAACCAGAAGACTTAAAAAAAAGGAAACTTGGTTTATAGGTTTCCACACCGGGTGTCCATGTATTGTAAAGATTTGATTCTTCATGATTAATCTTGATTACAACAGATTAAGTTCAGACTATTGTACCTATTACAATAGATTTGATGATAATGATTTTATTATTTTTGTCGTTATATGTGGATGACATGTTGGTGGTAGGCTCCAACAAAGGTTGAATATAGGTTTGAAGGCACAATTGACTAGGAAATCTGATATGAAGAACTAAGGACCAATAAACAAGATTTTAGGGATGAAAATTTACTGGGATATAAAATATAAGAAGGTTTGACTTTATCAGAAGAATACTGACTAAAGGTCTTGCAGTGCTTCAACATACAAGAGTGTAAGTCAGTTTTTACCTCATTTTCTATCAAGTTATCCTCAAGTATGAATTCTAGCAATAAAACAGGGAGGATAAAAATGTCTCGCATACTGTATGCATCAACAGTGAGATGTAGGGATGACAAAACGAGTCAGGCTCGATGGGCCAGCCCGCCATAATATGGTGGGGCGGGTTAGTACTTTCAGCCTGTCATCTCGTTTTGGCCCGTCTCGCCAAGCCCGCCGGGCCAACCCGCAACCTGTTTTATTATAGTTTTTTTTAATGTGATACAATACAAATAGTTAAAAAGACAATATATAATATAAAAATTTATAAAAAGAGAATTCTAAAAGTCACAGTGTCTCATAAAGAGAATTCATAATATCTCAAGTATCTCACTACTAAGAGAAATTTTTTTTTTACTGTTACAAACATATATCTATTATTATATAAAGTTTATCCTAATTTAATTGTTCTAAAATATAATTTATTAAAATAATATATCAATTTATATTATTAACTTGAAATATATATATATATATATATTGAATTGTTGACAATGAAAATTTTATTATTAAATTTATTGAAATATTTAATTTAAAAATAATAAAATAAAATAAAATAAGAAATATGACGAGTCGACCAGCCAACCTGCCCTTTAGCAAGGCGGATCGAGACATGTAGCCGACCATGACTATAGCGAGCTAGCCTGTGTCGCTTCGCTTTTGACAAGCTAAAGGCAGCTGTGGCCAAAATGGGACAGATCGACTGTTTTATCATTCCTAGTGGAAAATGTTATGAATACCATGATCGGTACAAAACCAGACATTGCACAAGCAGTGAGAGCGGTTGGTAGATTAATGCAAATTGTGGTGGAGAACATGAGTATTATCAAGAGAAATCTTTGTTGAGAATATTACTTTATTATCTTTTATTTAAATTAGGTATTAAGATATTTTATTATCTTTTAAGAGAGAAGGTAAAAAGATATTAGGTTATTATTTTGATTTAGGCAGTTATGATTGAGATATTATTGATATTTGATATTTTATAATATTTTTACTATATATATACATAAAGTACATGAATAAAAATATACCCACATGACATATCATAAATATATATATATATATATATATATATATATATATATATATATATACAAAACCTTAAAATTCCCATCAATGGTATTAGAGCTTTGGTTCGATACAATGGAGAGAGAAATTTTTTTTCACAAGTCGCTATTCCAATTTTTTATGGCGAAAGTTATGACTTATGCGCTGTGAGAATGCAATCCTATCTTGAATGATTGGATATATGGGAAGCTGTGGAGGATGATTATATTGTTGATCCGCTACCTGAAAATACCACCATAGTTCAAATGAAATTTCACAGATAAAGAAAAACGAGGAAGACAAAAGTTAAATCATGTCTGTTTGCTGGTGTTTCACAAATGATTCTCACTAGAATCATGACGCTAAAGTCATCCAAAGAAATTTGGGATTATTTGAAAGATCAATATGAAGGGCACAAGAAAATTCTAGAAGTGTTACATGCTTTACAAGCGCAAGAGCAACAAAGATTGATGAGAGGAGATCATGTTGCTGGTAAGGTTCTTTATTATATCATGATGGAGGTTCTCTCCAAGCCAAGAAGTACAAAATCATGAGTCTTTTCTGTTTGTCCTTATTGCAAGAAAAATAATCACACACCCAACAAGTGTTGGTGGATGCCTGATGTGAAATGTCGAAAATGTGGTCAATTGGGACATATAGAAAAGATATGCAAATCACAACTAGAAGAAGCCGCCAAGATTATATAGGATGGAGTAGAAGGAGAACTTCTCCTTGTATCAACATGCTCTACAATCAACAAATTCACATGTTGACTTATAGACAATGGTACAAGAACAAATTGCAGTTAATAGTCATTCAGGTATCAAATTAATTTTTGATATTTTATATGTTCCTGATATTAATCATAATTTGTTAAGTGTTGCTCAATTATTGGAGAAAAGTTATAAGGTGTCTTTTGAACACAAACTTTGTGTGATCAAAGATACAACTAACTTAAAAATATTCGAAGTGCACATGAAAGGAAAAAAACTTCACTTTAGATTTGATGAGAGAATAGTTGATTACAAACGAAGATATAAAAGAAAAGTCAAAGAAAAAATATGAAGAAGATTTCTTGAAGGAACTTGATGTTAAGGAGGAAAATAAAGATGTAGATGAAGAAACCAGTAAGATGTGATCCTATACAAAAAGGAAGATGACAAGAAGTACAAACAAAAAAGAGGAAAAATTATAAGCAAAATATTCAAATCCTATACAAAAAGGAAGATGACAAGAAGTACAAACAAAAAAAGAGGAAAAATTATAAGCAAAATATTCAAATAAATAGATTTTAAAGTAAGGAGGAATGTTAGAAATATTACTTTATTATCTTTTATTTAAATTAGGTATTAAGAGATTTTATTATCTTTTAAGAGAGAAGGTAAAAAAAATATTAGGTTATTATTTTGATTTAGGCAGTTATGATTGAGATATTATTGATATTTGATATTTTGTAATATTTTCACTCTATACATACATAGAGTACATGAATAAAAATATACCCATATGATATATAAAAAATTCATATGTACTAAACCCTAAAAATTCTCATCATTCTTATCAAAGGAACCTTGGATATTGTGTTATGTTTCGGAGGATCAAAACTAATTGTATGTTTGTTCAAGTTTTGCAAGTGATATTGATGATGAGTACGAGTTATTCAAGTTATAGGATATTGTAACTTTATCTATCATAGAAACTGAGTACATGACAGTCACCCAAATATGTAAGGAAGTTGTTTAGATTAAGAGTATAATGGAAGAACTCATACATAAACAACAACAAATTATTGTGTATTGTAACAATCAGAGTGTCTTATCCATTACAAGAATCTTGTCTCATATTTCAAGATAAAACAAAAAGAACCTAGTAGATATTGCGACAATAAGTTAGTAATGACAAGTTTACATAGAGACGATCCTGCTGAAGATCTTTTGCAATAACAATATGAAAGACAATAATAATGTACAATGAAGATTTGATTAATTTAATTAAAATTTTCACGTGGCAGATTATGATAATGGGAGAAGAGAAATCCTATATCAGATAAATTATATGTTAATGTTTTTTCTTGTTATAAAAAAACATAATGTCTATTTTATAAATTATCTCAAATATCTTTTTTTTTTATTAGTATATTGCATAATAATTGATATCTCTTATTCTTGAGAAAGATTATTATTTTTGTTTAAATTTAAAAAATATTAAAAAAATTTATTGTTATCTATAATCAGTTTCATTTTTTTTTATAATTTATTTTAGTTATGAGTTATTACTCTGATTTGTACCATATTACCATCGATCCGTTGCCAAGATGTCCAAGTTCGGGTTTGGCAAAAAACCATCAACAAGTTGTAACTTACTTTTCGATTTGAGTGCCATAGTCATCGCTCGGGCCCAAGAATGGTAATTCTCACCGATTAACAGAACCGGTACCAAAGAAATTCCAGGATTCTCGTTAACATGCAAGTAGAGTGGACTCGAAGAATCAATTGCTTGATTCGCCATTGGAATACAAGCAAAAAGAAGAAAAGAAATAAAGAACGATGAGAAGAAGAAAAGTTTCAGAGTTAGATTTGCGCAGCAGAACCCCGAGGAAGGGGCTCTGATACCATCTAAAAATAACATGATTAACAAGAATAAAGAAGAGAAAAAAACTCAGAAAGTGGTTTGGGAGAGAGATTATGGAAAACGGAATTCAATTTTTTTTTTCTACAACTGCATGAGACAACTATTTATATCTAACTAAATGCTACTGTAAATACATCTGTCATCTAACAAAAAACTAACATAATGAAGATAAACTAACAAACTATCTGTTACAATTTACAATGTAAAGTTTTCGGTCTATCACCATTCAATTATTTCAATTTTTAGTGAAATAAAAACATAAACTTTTTTACGGAAATCAAATTTAAAAATTGTTCATTTTATAACAATAAAAAAATATATTTAAATCTTCTTGTGCAATAACCTGAAAGTGTGCCTTCCCCCAACCGAAGTATTTTAAGGTAGAAAATGCATGAGATTTGAGAACAAGAACAATTGAATCTCCAATGGTCAATTGGTGTCTACTTGTCATAAGGTTTCTTAATTGTTTATGCAATATGTTTTATTTTATTTTGATTTTAACTTTGAGTTTTGTGAATTTAGAATGTCTTGCACTTTCTGGCATAACGTGGTTAGTTTGGCAGGTGCGTTCGCCTTATGGGAACGGTTATCACTATGGGGATAATGTGCTTTCTGGAGAATTTTCATTTACTGCAGCTGAGTCTGGTGATTACACTGCTTGTTTTTCTTTGGCAGCGCCCGACCCCGCGGAAACTGTCACCGTTGAATTTGTTTGGAAAACTGGGGTTGCTGCCAAGGACTGGAATAATGTTGCCAAGAAAGGGCAGATTGATGTAAGTTTTCTCGCGTTCCTTCTCATAGAACTCATGTGTATGATTGGTACTGTTGGAGGAGTAGTTTGGAGTCTTACCAATTCGCCGTACTTTGTTATCTGTTATATTTATTTCTGATTATGCTAAATGCTGTTTAGTTGTCATTTTTATACTGAATGCTGGGTATCCATTACATTCTTCTTAAGCATGGAATTGGCTAGAATTTTGAATTGACATTTTTTGCTTTATCAGTGTGAAGGGATATAATGTCTTACTAGCGTTCAATTTTGATAATTTCCTCTACGAACACTAATAGAAGAAGAAATAATCATATAAAATGAATGAAACTTTCTCCATGAACTAATAAAATCGCACTTCAGCTTTGTGAGAAATTAGATAAGAAAGTTTATAAGAAAAGATTATGGTGTATAAATTAATTTTATTTATTAAATTATGGGAGAACCACACCATTACAACTACTTATTTAAGTTGGAGAGTCCAAGGCTTTATGAATCTCTCCTAACTTGCAATTGGATCCAACATTCCACCATATTTTGTAACCTCAATGCCCATGTGGGTTGGCTAAGCACCGTTTTTTTGGAGCCGTGGGACAGCAACCCTCCAAAATTTTATAACTCTTCTATAATTTATGATTTTAGGTCTCACTAAACTTAATAAACATTTAATATATTTATTTATATATTTACAATTTTATCTTCTCAATCTCTCTTCAATTTTGTAATTCTTATATAATTTATTATTTTATCTCCTAAAACTTAATTATTTAATATATTTAAGTATATATCTATAATTAATAATATATTATTTAACCTATTTCGTATTGCGTGAGCACTGTAGTGCCAGCATCACCACCTATACCACTTATTTGCAGCTAAGGACACGTTAATAGACTCTGATGAAGATGAAAGTAAAGAAGGGCATAATAGGCATATGCATATACGAGAGAGGGAAGTGAAAATCCATAACGTGGGAACCACATGATTTGTTCTACTGAGGGAATGCAACGATTTTGCCTTGCTGGCAGAGAGAGTGAGAATTTCCTTTTAGCTGGAAAGAGAACCATTGGGGTGGGGGGAGGGGGATTGAGGCTTGGGATGGGTTTTGGGAAACGGTGGGCTAGGGGATGATTGGATTGTCTCCCTCTGTTTTTTTATTCCCTCACTCCCTGCTTTTTGTTTATAGTCATAATAACAAATATCATTTTTTTTTTCTCTGGGTGTGTTTTTCTGTATTGTGCTAGTTGTTACTTATCAATTAGTATCACAACACGATTATGGGAGTGCATGATCCTTACCCGCAACGCCATGGAGAGATGCATGGATGGGCTTGAACAACAACTGGAGGAATTAAAAAACTTGATTATATCTCGAGATCGATCGCATAGCGGCAGACCCCACCGGCGCCACTCACACCGACGATCGAAAAGAAATGCGGGGGTGGATGGAGAGGTTGAGAACGAGGATGGGGAAGACCGAATGAGTTCCCTTTCTCGAAGCGTGAGTAGCGACTCATCACGAGACTTTGGGGACAGAAAATTGAAGATTTCGATATTCAGAGGCGAAGACGCTTATGGGTAGATCGTTTGTGTTGAACGATACTTTAAGCTGAATTTAGTAGAAGAAGAGGAAAAATTGGATGCCGTAGTTATTACTTTGGAGGATAGAGCATTGAGCTGGTATCAATGGTGGGAAGAGCAAAGTAACAAACTTAACTAGGAGGAGTTCAAAGGGGCGCTAATCAGACGTTTCCAGCCAGGGTTGATGCAAAATCCTTTTGGACCATTGCTGAAAATTAAACAAATCGGTTCAATTATAAAATATAGGGAGAAATTTGAAAGTGAATCAACTCCATTAAAGAAGGAGGAGAGAGTTATGTTGAAAGGGATATTCCTCAATGGCTTGAAGGAAGAAATTCAAGCGGAACTAAAACTACACACCATGGGCCCACTAGAGGAGCTGATGGATAAGGCGCTATTGTTAGAAGAGAAAAATAATGCGTTGCAGAATGTAGGGCTGATGAGTTTAGAGAGGAAAATGGGTGAGAAATCTTTGGCCAAATATAATAGAGGTTTCACGAGATGGGAGAAGGGAGGAAATAGAGAAGGAGCAAGTAGTAAACAATTAGAAAGTGAACTAAATGAGAAGAAAGTTGTGGGTGGGGGAGGAAGACTTTCTCAAGCTGAGTTGAGAGAAAGAAGTAGGAAGGAGGTCTATTTTAAATGTGGAGAGACTTGGGGTCGAGATCATGTGTGCAAATTGAAACACTATCAATTTGTACTAGTGGAAAATTCTCAGGAAGAGGACACCGAAAGCAGTGAAGGGGAGGAGGAAAAGATAGATATCCTTGAGGCTAAAGTGTTACAAATATCTCTTAGGAGCAAGGAAGGACTAACCTCAAATTAATCATTCAAGGTTAAAGGGAGGCTAGGAGGAATGAAGGTTCTAGTGTTAGTGGATTGCGGAGCATCAGCAAATTTCATCTCAAAAAAATTGGTTAACCACCTCAAGCTGGAAGTAAGTGAGATAGCAGAATTTATAGTTGACGTAGAGACGGGGGATAAGGTGATAAATAGAGGAATTTGTAAACAGTTGGAATTAGAGATTCAGGGGGTCCCCATAGTGCAACATTTCTTTTTAATGGAGCTGGGAGGAAAAAATATAGTTTTGGGAAAGGATTGGCTGACTAGCTTGGGAAATGTAAGAGCTAATTTCAGAAATCTAGTGTTTAAGTGGGAACAACTAAAAGAGAAAAGAGTGATAAAGGGTGACCCCTCCCTCTATAAATCTCAAGCTTCGTGGAAAGCTATGGTGAAGACTCTCAATGATAAAGGAGAAGGGTTCATGCTATCTTATCAAAATCGCTCAACTATAGACATGGAAATAGGTAACATTATGCTCCCAGAATTGGTTGCGGTGCTAAATGACTATGAGGATTTATTTAGAGAGCCTACTGTCTTGCCCCCCAAGAGGGCATGTGATCATGTTGTGATTCTTAAGGAGGGAGAAAATATACCCAATATTAGGCCTTATAGGTATTCTTACTACCGAAAAAATGAAATTGAGAGGTTTGTGAAGGAAATGTTAACAACAGAATTATAAGGCCTAGTAATAGCCCCTACAGGAGCCCTGCTATTTTGGTTAGGAAGAAGGATGGAGGGTGGAGGTTTTGTATTGATTATAGAGCTTTAAACAAGATGATAATACCAGATAGATTTCCCATTCCCATCATTGATGAATTACTAGACGAATTGGGAGGAGCCATGATTTTTTCCAAATTGGATCTCAAATCAGGCTATCACCTAATCAGAATGGATGAAGGAGACGTTTCTAAAACCGCATTCAGAACTCATGAGGGACATTACGAATTCTTTGTAATGCCTCTTCAACCTTCCAAGCTCTAATGAATCAAGTCCTGCAACCTTACTTTAGAAAATTCACATTAGTGTTCTTTGATGATATCCTAATTTACAGTAAAACCATGGATTGTCATCAAGAGCATGTGAGGAAGGTATTGGAAAGCTTGCGGGAAAATAACTTAGTCGTCAACAAGAAGAAATGCATGTTTGCGAAGATGAACATAGAGTATTTTGGACATATTATTTCAGGTCAGGGAGTGGCAGCAGATCCAGCCGAAATACAAGCAATGATGGAATGGCCAGTTCCAAAGGATGTGAAGGGGTTGAGAGGGTTCTTAGGCCTCACGGGCTATTACCGGAAATTCGTTGAGGAATATGGGAAGATCACATGGCCTCTAACCTAGTAATTGAAGAAGGATAAATTCAAATGGGATGAAACAGCACAAGAAGCCTTTGACAAGTTGAAAATAGCAATGACCCAGGTTCCTGTTCTTGCTGTTCCAAACTTTGAGAAGATGTTCATTGTAGAGACAGATGCATCAGGCAAGGGAATTGGAGCTGTGTTGATGCAGGAAGGGCAACCAATTGCTTATATGAGTCATACCCTCTCGGATTGGGCTATGAACAAGTTAGTTTATGAAAAGGAACTGATGGCAGTAGTCATGGCAGTGCAAAAATGGAGGCATTATCTGCTAGGAAGACACTTCATAGTGCGAATTGATAAAAAAAGTTGGAAATTCTTAGCTGAACAAAGATTGACGAGTGAGGAGCAAAACAAGTGAATTTCCAAATTGTTGGGCTTTGATTTTGAGATTCAGTACAAGCCTGAAGCAGAGAACCGAGTGGTAGATGCCCTCTCAAGAAGGATGTTGTATTCATCTATCTCAACAGTCCAACTCTTGGACTGAGAAGAGTTAGAAGCAGATGTTGTGAAGGATGAAGGATTGAATAAAATCATCCAAGATTTGTTGCTAAAAAAGGGAGAACATAAGGGGTACGCACTAAAGAATGGAAGGTTGTATTACGAAGAAATGTTAGTCATTCCAAAGGCGTCATTGAAAATTCATGTAATATTAAAGAAGTTCCATGATTCAGCAGTAGGGGGACATTCAAGATATTTCCGCACTTATAAAAGGATTTCTAGAATGCTTTTCTGGGAAGGGATGAGGAAGAACATTTAAGACTATGTGCAAAGGTGGGAGGTGTGTCAAAGGAATAAATATCAAACATTGAGTCCTGCTGGATTATTACAACCTCTTCCTATCCCCAAACAGATTTGGGCAGACCTATCCATGGATTTCATTGGAGGCTCACCAAAAGCGGGAGAACTAGACACAATATTGGTGGTGGTAGACCGACTCACCAAGTATGCCCATTTCATTGCCTTATCCCACCTTTATAATGTCAAGGAAGTTGCAGAAGTATTCCAAAAAAATTTTGGTAAAACTCCATGGATTCCTAGAATTTATTGTTTCGGACCGTGACAAGATATTTATGAGTGCTTTTTGGACTGAGTTGTTCAGAATGGTAGGAACTAAACTGAAAATAAGCTCCGTTTACCACCCACAGACGGATGGGCAGACTGAAGTGGTGACTCAATGTTTGGAAACATATTTGAGATGTATGACAGGGGAGAGACCCAGATAGTGACACAAATGGTTGAGTTGGGCAGAGTATTGGTATAATACCAATTACCGTGAATCTACAAAAATGACCCCCTTTCAAGCTTTGTATGGAAGGGATCCTCCTCTTTTGATTAGAGGAGATAGCTCAGTCACTCCACTAGAAGAAGTTGCTTGGATGATCAGAGATAGGAATGAGATGTTAAACATATTGAAGGACTAGTTGGCTCAAGCCCAAAATCACATGAAACAACAAGCCGACAAGCATAGAAGGGAAATGAGTTATAAGGTGGGAGATGTAGTTTACTTGAACATTCAACCATACAAGTTGAAGAAGCTGGCAAAAAGGATTAATAAGAAGCTCAACCCTAGATTTTATGGACCGTATGAAATCACGGAAAAAATTGGAGAGGTGGCATATAAATTGAAATTGCCAGAAGGGAGAAAAGTCCATCCCGTTTTCATGTATCTTTGTTGAAACCTACTATTTCAACTGCAACGGAAGTCCAACCATTACCTAGTTTTGTGAATGAAGAATTGGAGTTACAAGTGCAACCAGAAGTGATATTGGCAGTCAGAGGAGATGAAGAAAGAATCCTGGAAGTGTTAGTGAAATGGAAAAATCTGCCGCAATGTGAAAATTCAAGGGAATCTGTATGCAAAATGAAAGAATCCTTTCCTGACTTCCACCTTGAGGACAAGGTGGATTTTAAAGGGGGAGGTGCTGATGGAGACGAAAATAAAGAAGGGTATAATAGTCATATGCATAATGTTTATGAGAGAGGGAAGTGGAAACCCATAATGTGGGGACCACAGGATTTGTTCTACTGAAGGAATGCAGCGTTTTTACCTTGCTGGTAGAGAGAGAGTGGGAATTTCCTTTTAGCTGGAAAAAGAACCATTGGGGTGGGGGGAGGGGGATTGAGGCTTGGGAGGGGTTTTGGGAAACAGTGGGATAGGGGACGATTGGATTGTCTCCCTCTGTTTTTTTATTCCCTCACTCCCTGTGTTTTTGTTTACAGTCGTAATAACACATCATTTTTTTTTTCTCTGGATGTGTTTTTCTGTATTGTGCTAGTTGTTACTTATCAGACTCTAATTAATATGAATTGATAAGAGTGTTGAGAAATGACATCACAAAAGCTAGTCATTGTATGGGGAGAATCCAAGACGTTACAAATCTCACACTAGAATCCCATACTTTAATATAGGACTCAGGTCCTTGAATCTCATAACTTTCGATTCGATCCGTATAATAGAAGTTTGATTTGTTTTACCGTTTTCAAGCGATTGTTGAGAAGTTTATTTAAATTGGATTTTGGTAGATTTTGAAGTTTTTTTCTTGTTTTAATAGAGCACTTCTCATTGGTTTATGTTTCAAATAGCTTTTCATTTTTTTTTGTAATGTTATTTATTTTAGATTTTGTATTGAATGTTAACGTTTCTACATATTAAATCATCAAGTGTTTACTTCTCATATACATGTCTTGTATTTCTATTTCATATAGTTAAGCCATAGCTAAAGCCGAAAAAATATATCATATTATTAGAAATATTACTTTATTATCTTTTATTTAAATTAAGTATTAAGAGATTTTATTATCTTTTATTTAAATTAAGTATTAAGAGATTTTATTATCTTTTAAGAGAACATAAAAAGATATTATGCTATTATTTTGATTTAAGCAGTTATAATTGAAATATTATTGATATTTGATATTTTATAATTTTTTTACTCTATATATACATAGAGTACATTAATAAAATATATACTCACATGATATATCAGAAATACACATACACAAAACTCTAAAAATTCCCAAAAGTGGTATCAAGAGCTTTGGTTCGATACAATAGAAGGAGAAAGAAATTTTTCACAAGTCACTATTTCATTTTTTGATGGCGAAAGTTATGACTTATGGACTGTGAGAATGCAATCCTATCTTGAAAGATTGGATGTATGAGAAGTTGTAGAAGAAGATTATATTGTGGATCCATTACCTGAAAATCCCACCATAGCTAAAATGAAATTTCACAAAAAAAGAAAAACAAGAAAGACAAAAGCTAAATCATGTATGTTTGGTGGTGTTTCACAAATGATGCTCACTAGAATCATGACACTAAAGTCACCAAAAGAAATTTATGATTATTTGAAAGATCAATATGAAGGGGATGAGAAAATTCAAGGAATGAAAGTTCTAAACTTGATAAGGGAATTTGAGATACAAAAGATGTAAGAGTCTCGAACAATTAATGAATACTCAAACAAATTGTTGGGTATTGTTAACAAAATAAAATTGTTAAGCAAGAAATTTTCTGATTCTAGAATAGTTGAGAAAATTCTAGTAACTGTGCCAGAGAGATATGAAACATCTATTGTTTCATTGAAAAATACAAAAGATTTGTCTAATATTACTTTGACAGAAGTGCTACATGTTTTACAAGCGCAAGAGCAACGAAGATTGATGAGAGAAGATTATGTTGCTGGTGAAAGTTCTTTATTATATCATGATGGAGGTTCTCTCCAAGCCAAGAATAACAAAGGTACAAAATCACGAGTCTTTTCTGTTTGTCCTTATTGCAAGAAAAATAATCACACACCTAACAAGTGTTGATGGAGGCCTGATGTGAAATGTCAAAAATGTGGTCAATTGGAACAAATAGAAAAGATATGCAAATCACAACCAAAAGAAGCCGTCAAGATTATAGAGAATGAAGTAGAAGGAGAACTTCTCCTTGCATCAACATGCTCTATAAACAACAAATCCACAGGTTGGCTTATAGATAGTGGTTGTACAAATCACATGACTCATGATCGAGAATTTTTCAAAAAGGTCAACGAATCACATATTTTTAAAGTGAGAATCGATAATGGAGAATAAATGGACGTGAAAAGTTTATGAACAATTGTAGTTAAAAGTCATTCGGGTATCAAATTAATTTTTGATGTTTTATATGTTCCTGATATTAATCATAATTTGTTAAGTGTTGTTCAATTATTAGAGAAAAGTTATAAGGTGTCTTTTGAACACAAACTTTGTGTGATTAAATATACAAATAACTTGGAAATATTCAAAGTTCACATGAAAGGAAAAATTTTCATTTTAGATATGATGAAAGAAGAGTTAATTACAAATGAAGATATAAAAGAAAAGTAAAAGAAAAAGCATGAAAAAAGATTTCTTGAAGGAACTTGATGTTAAGGAGGAAAATAAAGATAGTCAACAATACTACCATGAAGTATGAAAGAAATAAAGGAGATGAAGTTGATAAATGAAGAAATACTTTAATAAAGAAAATAAAGTTGAATGAAGATATGATCTCATACAAGAAAGAAGATGACAAGAAATACAAACAAACAAAAAAGGAAAAATTATAAGCAAAATAAAAGGAAAAAAAATATCAAATTCAAATTTATAGATATTAAAGTAAGGAGGAAGGTTGAGAATATTACTTTATTATCTTTTATTTAAATTAAGTATTAATATATTTCATTATCTTTTAAAAGAAGGTAAAAAAATATTAAGTTATTATTTTGATTTAGACAATTATGGTTGATATATTATTGATATTTAATATTTTGTAATATTTTTACTTTATATATATATATATATATATATATATATATATATATATATATATAAAGTACATGAATAAAATATATACTTAGATGATATATCAGAAATACACGTACAAAAAACACTAAAAATTCTCAACACATATTATGCATGACCCAATTTTTTTGAGCTTAGGTAGATTCTATTAAGCAATCACCTGCGTTCTAACTATCCGCTCTGATTTCTTTTATAAATCATCAGCTATATTTTGCAGTGCTCATTAATGTGCTACTAAATTTTTCTCTAGCAAATTGGATTGACAACTTGTAAGTGTAGATTCTGTTTAATCATAGTGTTCTTCGTTTAACTTGTTCTTCTTTGAAATTTCATTTTTTTTGGTTACTTTTTCAATGATAAAATTACACATTTGTATTTGTGTGTGAAGGGCCAAGTCCATTGAAATTCTGAAAATAATATAGGTTGAACGAATAGGGGAAACATGCATCTAGCAGAACCCGTAAGAGAATAGTGTTGGGTTATTGGGCTCCCTTCCTATGTGGAGAATAGGCCCAAATAGTGTGGTCCATTATGTCTCATTTGGGTAAAATGAGATGGGTCAGATTAGTAGAGGACAAGAGAGTCATTTGAAAAAAGACAAAAAGTCTAGTGAGAGAAAAAGAAAGAGAGAAAGTCATCTCCGCATAACCCTAAATCTGCACTGGTGTTTTCGTCGCTGTGAAGTCGTTCACCGTTGGATCGAGCTGATTTTTGGTTAGTAGGTTCCAGACATATGGTTCTTCATTCTGACCGTTCGGATCGTCAATCGAAGGTCTAGATTGGGAGAAATTGGTCCCGCACCAGCAGCCCTGTTTTGGAGATTTTTCATCTTCTTTGTTTCTCTTTTGTAAGCATTTGTGCTTAGTTAATTCTGCTTATTGAAAATACCTTTTGGTATTATTATTGGAGACTCTTGTGTACCCCATTATTGATCATAGTGGATTTTTCTTTGGTCTGGACGACTCGTGGTTTTTACCCTTGCATTGAGGGGTTTTCCACGTTAAAATTGTTGGTGTCTCTTTGTGCTTTGGATTCTATTTGTTTGGTGCTCCTCGCTGATTCTCGCAAGAAGGGGGATTGAATTTCCGCTGCATTATTACTCTTTGTCAAGTTGTTATATTTGTTTTTTGGCCCTTTTTTTTTTATACCATCGAGTGGCATCGAGCTCTTAGGTTAAGGGATCGTTTAATTTGCGTGAATGATGGAGGCACATACTAAATTGATTCCGTTGAATGGAGAAAATTATCACTTATGGAAAGGCAAGATGAAGGATTTGTTATTTGTGAAAAATTTGCATCTTCCTCGTTTTTGCTTCCAATAAGCCGTAATCCAAGTCAGATGAAGAATGGGATTTTGAACATCAACAGGTATGTGGATTTATCGAGCAGTTTGTTGATGATAATGTTTATAATTTTGTTGCTAATGAGACACATGCGAGAAGCCTATGGGATAAGCTTGAGTCCTTGTATGCTTCTAAGTCGTGGACTAATAAATTGTACTTGCTTGAAAAATTTTGTGGAGTTGAAGTACAAGGAAGGAACTCATGTTTCAAATCACTTGAGTGAATTTCAAGGACGCTATGATCAATTAGCTGGAGTGGGTATAAAATTTGATGATGATCTATTGGGCTTATTCCTATTAAACTCTTTACCGGATTCGTGGGAGACATTTCGGGTTTCCATGATAAGTGCTACCCCTAATGGTGATATTTCTTTGCAAATGGCAAAGAGTGGTGCTCTTAATGAGGAGATGAGAAGGAAGACACGAGGTACTTCATCTCATTCGAAGTGCTTATTACGGAGAATAGGGGAGAAACCAAAAGAAAGAACAAAACAAGTGGTAGAGATAAAAGCGGGAGCAAGTCCAAGTCTCGGTACAAGAATGTGGAGTGTCACTATTGTCACAAAACAGGACATATAAAGAAAAACTGCTTTTGTGGAAGAAAGAGAGCAAAGACAAAAAGGGTAAGCAAAGAGAAAAAGATAATGATGATGGTGATCGTGTTACTACTACTACATGTGGTGACCTTGTTTGTCTTCGTGATTATGACACTATTAGTCTTGTATCCGATGAGAGCATGTGGATAATTGATAGTGGTGCTACACTCGCATGTTACATCCAGGAAGGAGTTCTTCACATCTTATACACCTGGTGATTTTGGAGTATTGAAGATGGGTAATGATGGGGTGTCTAAAGTTGTTGGTGTTGGTGATGTTCACTTGCAAACCAACATGGGGATGCAAGTTGTTGCTTAGAGGAGTTAAACATGCTCCAGATGTTCGCTTTAACTTGATCTCTGTCAGGTGTACTTGATGATGGTGGATATTATAACCATTTTGGTTCTGGAAAGTGGAAGCTCACCAAAGGTAACTTGATTGTGGCTAAAGGGGAGAAAAACTCTAAGCTTTACTGGACAAAAGCTTTGGTTGCTAAAGATAGTGTGAATTCCGTGTATATGGAGTCATCTTTGTGGCACATGAAGGCTTGGGCACATCGGTGAAAAGGGGCTTAATCGCTTATTTAAAAAGGATGTTCTCTCAGGATTGAAGAATGTAGATTTGGAGAAATGTTCTCATTGCATGGCTGGTAAACAAACCAGAGTATCCTTCAAGAAGCATCCTCCCTCCAGGAAGTCGAGTTGCTTGAATTGGTGCATTCTCGATGTTTGTGGCCCATTGAAGGTAAAGTCTTTTAGTGGTGCACTTTACTTTGTTACCTTTATTGATGATTGTTCCAGGAAGCTTTGGGTTTATGTACTACGGAGAAAGGACCAAGTGTTGGACAAGTTTAAAGAATTCCATGTTTTGGTTGAGAGGCGATCAGGCAAGAAGCTGAAACGCATTCGTATCGACAATGGTGGTGAGTATTGTGGACCATTTGATGCTTATTGTAGACAATATGGTATTGCACATGAGAAGACTCCTCCTAAAACTCCTCAGCTGAATGGTTTAGCGGAGAGGATGAACAGGACATTGATTGAAAGAGTTAGGTGTATGCTTTCGAAGCAAAATTGCCTAAGCATTTCGGGGTGAGGCATTGTTTACAGCGAGTGCATGTTATTAATCTAAGTCCTGCAGTTGCTTTGAACTCGAGGTGCCGGACAAGATTTGGTTTGGCAAGAATGTTACTTATGATCATTTACGTGTCTTCGATTGTAAAGCATTTGTTCATGTTCGAAGGATGAAAGATCCAAGTTGGATATGAAGACAAGACAATGCATCTTTATTGGTTTTGGTCAGGATGAATTTGGCTACAAGTTGTATGACCTCGTTGAAAAGAAAGTTGTTAGAAGTCGTGATGTGCAATTCATGGAAGATCAAACCATTGAAGATATTGATAAGGAGAAGAAGTCTACACCTAAAGGAAATGGTAATGTGGATGATGTTGATCCAATTCGGTTGTCTATTAATGATTTGGATATTGATGCTCATGATGATGAACAACATGGTGATACTGATAATCAACAGGTTGAAGATAGCTTGGATGTTCCTATTGATAATGTTGATGAAGAGGAACATGATGTATCACATGATGAGAGTCTTGGTGATATACCTGAGCTACCTGAAACTCAACCTAGAAGATCTGACAGGCCAAGACAACCTTCTAAGAAGTACTCTACCAATGAGTATGTGATGTTGACTGATGAAGGAGAACCTGAATGTTATGAGGAGGCCGTTGAAAGTGAAGAAAAGCAAAAGTGGTTGGATGCAATGCAGGATGAGATGAAATCGCTGCATGATAATCACACTTATGACTTGGTGAAGTTGCCTAAGGGTAAGAGAGCCTTAGAGAACAGGTGGATCTTCAGGGTGAAGCAAGAGAGCAATTCTACATCTACCAGATATAAAGCCAGATTAGTGGTGAAAGGCTTTAGACAAAGAAAGGGTGTTGACTTCAATGAGATTTTCTCACCTGTGGTGAGGATGACATCTATCCGAACTGTGTTAAGTTTAGCTGCTACTCTTGATTTGGAAGTTGAGCAGATGGATGTGAAGACAGCCTTCCTTCATGGTGATTTGGAGGAAGAGATTTACATGAAGCAACCGGATGGTTTTCTTGTTGAAGGCAAGGAAGACTATGTGTGTAGGCTACGAAAAAGCCTATATGGTTTGAAGCAAGCTCCAAGGCAGTGGTATAAGAAGTTTGAGTCTGTTATGTGTGAGCAAGGCTACAAGAAGACTACTTCGACCATTGTGTTTTTGTCGGAAATTTTCTGAGAATGATTTCATTATCCCGTTGTTATATGTTGATGACATGCTTATTGTTGGAAAAGATGTTTCCAAAATTGACAGGTTGAAGAAGCAACTGGGCAAGTCATTTGCCATGAAAGACATGGGAGCTGCTAAGAAGATTCTTGGTATAAGTATCACTCGTGATAGAAAAGAGAAGAAACTTTGGCTATCACAGGAGCACTACATTCAGAAGGTGTTGCAAAGATTCCAAATGGAGAATGCTAAGGTTGTAAGTACTCCTCTTGCTACTCATTTTAAGTTGAGTGTTAAACAAAGTCCTTCAAATGAAGTTGAGAAGATAGCTATGAGAAAAGTTCCTTATGCTTCTGCGGTGGGTAGTTTGATGTATGCAATGGTATGTACAAGGCCTGATATTGCACACGTCTGTTGGTACAGTTAGCAGATTTCGTCAAATCCAGGTAGAGAGCATTGGAATGCTCGTGAAATGGATTTTGAGGTATCTTCGTGGTACTAGAGGTTTGAGACTTTGTTTTGGAGGTGATAAACCTACTTTGGTGGGTTACTCGGATTCGGATATGGCTGGAGACATTGATTCCGGAAAGTTCACTTCGAGCTATTTGATTCGAGTTTGCGGGGAGCTTTGGCTTGGCAATCAAAGTTGCAAAAGTGTGTGGCGTTGTCTACTACTGAGGCAGAATTCATTGCACTTACTGAAGCATGCAAAGAGTTGTTATGGGTGAAGAAATTCTTGCAGGAGCTTGGTTTTGTGCAAGATAAATACTTGTTGTATTGTGACAGTCAAAGTACTATTCATCTTGGTAAGAATCCAACTTTTCATTCTAAATCCAAACATATTGATGTGAGGTATCATTGGATACGTGATGTTTTGGATGCTAAGTTGGTGGAACTAGCTAAAGTTCATACAGATGATAATGGTGCTGATATGATGACCAAGGCATTGCCAAGAGGAAAGTTTGAAGTTTGTTGTGAGATCGTCGGTTTGGCGGATATCTCCACATAGTCGTGAGGGGAGATTTGTTGGGTTATTGGGCTCCCTTCCTATGTGGAGAATAGGCCCAAATAGTGTGGTCCATTATGTCTCATTTGGGTAAAATGAGATGGGTCGATTAGTAGAGGACAAGAGAGTCATTTGAAAAAAGACAAAAAGTCTAGTGAGAGAAAAAGAAAGAGAGAAAGTCATCTCCGCATAACCCTAAATCTGCACTGGTGTTTTCGTCGCTGTGAAGTCGTTCACCGTTGGATCGAGCTGATTTTTGGTTAGTAGGTTCCAGACATATGGTTCTTCATTCTGACCGTTCGGATCGTCAATCGAAGGTCTAGATTGGGAGAAATTGGTCCCGCACCAGCAGCCCTGTTTTGGAGATTTTTCATCTTCTTTGTTTCTCTTTTGTAAGCATTTGTGCTTAGTTAATTCTGCTTATTGAAAATACCTTTTGGTATTATTATTGGAGACTCTTGTGTACCCCATTATTGATCATAGTGGATTTTTCTTTGGTCTGGACGACTCGTGGTTTTTACCCTTGCATTGAGGGGTTTTCCACGTTAAAATTGTTGGTGTCTCTTTGTGCTTTGGATTCTATTTGTTTGGTGCTCCTCGCTGATTCTCGCAAGAAGGGGGATTGAATTTCCGCTGCATTATTACTCTTTGTCAAGTTGTTATATTTGTTTTTTGGCCCTTTTTTTTTTATACCATCAAATAGGTCATGTACTATCCAATTTTGTTACCTCAGCTAACCCATTCTTTATGAATAGTTAACATGTATTTTAGTTTGATTATCCATTGTTATCATTGTTACATTTCCTGTCTAACCCATTCTTTATGAATAGTTAACATGTACGGTCGTGTGTTTTCTAAAGTGTTATTTTTTGACATCTTAGGAAATGGAATTGGAGTTAAAGAAGTTGAATGAGGCTGTCACATCTATCCACGACGAGATGTTTTATCTTCGTGAAAGGTATAAATTCATGGTTTCTGCCTACAAGTTTACCGGCGGTATTGGTGTCTTTGATTTGGTAAACAATGTTTCTCCATGCGATCTGACGGGAATTGGGTTCTACTTTGGCTCATTCAAAGTCTCTTATTAAATGCAAAATATATGGAACATATTGTTGTTGTATCAGAGGAAATTTTAATATTTTTCAGAGACGGATCTGTATCTCTATCCCTTGTATTAACTGTATATTGCTAAGTGTTTTAGTGTTCAAGAGTGATCTGGTCCATGTTGTCATGCAAAACTATATTCTATTTTTGTCTTATTAATTATACTCAAAAGAGTGATATGGATGAAATCACTTGACCTATTAACCTTTTCACCAAACCAAAACACAAATACGGAAGGTTTAAAACAAAATCTGACATAAGTCTAGTCCGCCAAGAGCATAAACAGATAATTGTTTGGTCTTCCTTTGACGTGCCATAATACTGATCATTCAGTGGGTTGGTGCTCATCAGAAAATTTCCTTCTTTTGGTTACCATTATCCTTATCTCCTGTGCTCCACCTTTGTGATCCAAATTCTTTGCTTACATATATGGTCACAACAAACCAAGGAGGGAAGCGTGTAATTTAACTAATGTATGATAGATTCCCGTTGAGTGTTTAAACTGTGTAAGGTTTGACTTCATATATGGTCACACACTCTCTATTGGAGACTGATTTTGTTTCATTCCGAGTAGAGTTTTTGCTGAATTTTGATGTATTTATTCCATGTTGATACAGGGAGATAGAGATGCAAGTTCTTACCAACGAGACTAACACGAAGATGTTCACCTTCAGTTTCCTTTCAATTTTAGTTTGCTTGTCTGTGGCTGGTTTGCAACTATGGCATTTGAAGACATTCTTTGAAAGGAAGAAGCTCCTCTAAGAAGGATTTTATTGACGACAGTATTGACTGGTTGTTGGATATATACGTTATTTAGATTATGATTCTTTTATAATATATGATCTTAGCTGGTTGCTTCCAAATATTGATTACTGGTGGAATGTAACACTGCATTAGTACATATTAGAATTTCCTTTTCGAGATTTTTTTATGGTTTCAGTGTGCCATGTTAAGCCTATATCTAAAAGTTTCTCCATAGCTCAGTCTCAAATTTACTTTTGGGTGAAGTCTGTATATTGTCAAAAATGTATACAATTATATACTTGTTTTAATTCATTGCTTACCAGTTGGTTGGTCGGATACTCAAAGCTATAAAAATTTTAATGTTCAGTGCAAATAAACTATAGAATAGAATTAGACACTAGTACAAAATAGGCTTTTAACATCGGTTCTAGAACCGATGTAGAAAGTGTGACTTTCCACATCGGTTGTAAGGAACCGATGTAGAAAGTCTAATATTTTTTTTATTTTATTTATTCATAACACATCTCTAATTACCCTATCTATTGATCTAGAGTTTCCTAGACTATCATCTCCCTTTTATAACCCTTTTATATTATATTTTTATTATTTATATTTTTTAGGAATTTGAATTATTATCAGATTAAGAGAATTGTCATCGGCAAGATTCGAACCCAAGATCTTAGAGTCGGAGGCGATACTCCAACCACTAAGCTACCAGGATTTTCCGATAATAACTTATACATAAATTATATTTATATACAAATAAAAATGTATATCCATGTAAATATATAAATATAAAATATATAAATACAAATACAAATATATTTATATATTTATACGTTGGATGTGAGGACGCGCTCGAGGATGAAAGTGTGTGTCGAGTGAATTTTTAAAATTTGATGTCAAATTTGTGAGCGAGTCTCTTTATATGGATTATAACTTAATGACAAAATATAATCTTTATAATTTATTTATATAATGATATAAAATAATTTTTTTCTTTATTTTTTATCATTATATAAATTAATTATAAAGATTATATTCTATATTATTATAAATAAATTATAAAGATTATATTCTATCATTAAATTACAAATTCATATAAAGAAACTTGCTCACAAATTTGACATCAAATTTTGAAAACTCACTTGACACACACTTTTACTCTTGAGCGCACTCTCACATCCAACATATAAATATATAAATATATTTGTATTTGTATTTATATATTTTATATTTATATATTTACATGGATATACATTTTTATTTGTATATAAATATAATTTATGTATAAGTTATTATCGGAAAATCTTGGTAGCTTAGTGGTTGAGTATCGACCTCCAACTTCAAGATATTGGATTCGAATCCTGCAAGAATAATTCTCTTAATTTTATAAAAAGACTTTCTACATCGGTTCATCCTGGATCGGTTCTTAAAGAACCGATGTGGAAAGCCCGATGTTAAAAGTGATTTCTTTACTAGTGAGAAAAATTGGTAAAAAAAATATCGAAATATGTTTTTACGTTTTAGGTTAAACTTGTTATTGTTAATAGAAATTATTATTTGTTATTGAAATTGAGAGATAAGTGTTATAATATATTTAATTTAGATTTTTTTTGTGTGCATAGAAAATTTTAAGAATATATAAATGTTTGTTTTTTTATTTGTTAGTGTTAAATAATCATGATATGGGACGTCGTTTAAACACATCTGAGAAGATATAATTTAGTCTCAGATTTCCTTATAAAAAAAAAAAAAAAAGTAAAATGGTTGCATGTATATAAATTTAGATTGTACAGATAATTATTTTATTGTTATTTTGAAGTTACATCGTTCTCATATCACGTACATGCAACTTCTGCCTTTCTTCTAGTTTACACAAAACAAAGGTCACTGTAATCTTCTCGTGTCATTTGTTCACGATGTTTGGTGTCTGAGTAAAAGTGTGCGTTTTGCATTTGCAGCAGCAATGGGAAGCGCCACCTTTGCGTCAACCCTCGTCCGCATGGCCCAGAGGTGCACGTGCATGCGCGACCTGAAGCTCCTCCACGCGCACGCGTTCCGCACGCGCCTCCACGACCACGCAGTGGTCCTCGGCAAACTATTCCGCTTCGCCGCGGTGTCGCCGTTGGGCGACTTGTGCTACGCTCACCGCATGTTCGACATAATGCTCAAGCGAACCACCTTCTTCTACAACACCCTCATTCGCGCTCACTCCCATTCCACCACTCCTTCTCTCTCTTCCCTCTTCTTCAACGCCATGAGGCAAAACGACCTCTCCCCGGATCAGTTCTCCTTCACCTTCTTGCTCAAGTCCCGCTCAAGAACCACCCATTTGACCCACCACAACGACATACATGGCGCTGTTTGGAAGTTTGGGTTTTGCCGTCACTTGCACGTCCAGAACGGGCTGATACACTTATATGCCCATAGGGGGATGACCCTTTTAGCAAGAAGGGTTTTTGAGGATCTTTTGCACCTGGGTTTGGAGGTTGATGTTGTGTCCTGGTCGGGGTTGCTTGTGGCGCACGTAAAGGCTGGTGAGTTGGACGTTGCGAGGAGGGTGTTTGATGAAATGCCCCAGAGGGATGTGGTTACGTGGACTGCCATGTTGTCGGGGTATTCTCGAGCGAGGCGACCCAGGGATGCTCTGGAGTTGTTCCGGGAGATGAGGCATGCCGGGGTGTGGCCTGACGAGGTTACCATGTTGAGCGTGATCTCAGCTTGTGCAACTTTGGGAGATGTAGAGACAGGGAGGATGGTTCACCGGTTCGTTGAGGAGAATGGATTTGGGTGGATGGTTGCGCTTTGCAATGCGCTCATTGACATGTATGGGAAGTGTGGATGTTTGGAGGAGGCATGGTGCGTGTTTCGTGGGATGACAAGGAGGAGCTTGATCACATGGAACTCGATGATGACTGTGTGTGCGAACCATGGGAATGCTGATGATGCTTTCAGGTTGTTTGAATGGATGGTTTGTTCCGGGTTTGTGCCTGATTCTGTGACACTTCTGGCGCTTCTGGTTGCGTTTGCTCATAAGGGGTTGGTGGATGATGGAATTAGATTGTTTGAGAGAATGGAAAGGGACTATGGAGTTGAACCTAGGATTGAGCATTATGGAGCTGTGGTGGATATGTTGGGGCGTGCAGGGCGATTACAGGAGGCTTATGATATACTTACAAATATTTCGATTCCATGCAATGATGTTGTTTGGGGAGCTCTACTTGGAGCTTGCAGGATTCATGGTGATGTTGACATGGGGGAAAAGATTATAAAGAAGTTGTTGGACTTGAAACCAGATGAAGGAGGATACTATATTCTCCTGCGTGATATCTATGTTGCTGCTGGCAAGACTGTAGAAGCCAATGAGATGAGGCAAGCCATGTTAACTAGTGGGGCAAGGAAAAATCCTGGTTGTAGTTGGGTGGAAGGATGAAGTTTAGGTGTGCAGCCACAGCAATCATCATGCAAGCAATGGTGGTACCCTCTGTGCACTGCAGGCTGTAGAGTTTTTGCACGGAATCTCCATAAGCCACTCTGTTGTTGATACAAGGCAGCAAACCGGCAAGTAGAATGGTTGAGATTATTGTTGGACGACCTATTAACGGTTTCGATTCACTGTTCTGCTTATAATTTGAATCATCCGATGATTTCTTGAAGTCTCGCTCTTTCAATTTTCTGTTGAGCCATTGGTACTGATGAAGATTTTCAGGAACCGCATGTATATAAAAAGATTTTCTTATGAAGCGCAAGTTTGAAGTTATTCTTGCAAATAAAAATTGATGTTTTGTTCTATGATGGATTAAACAAGCTGAAGCTGCATCTGACTGACTACAATATTGCGCATCTACAATTACTCGGTGTTTGCTTTAAAGTTTGGATGTATTTTCTTTTGAGGAACAAGGTCTAACAATAGATAGTGTAGTTAGTTGAAATAATGATCAAATGACAGTATGATGCTGCTGATTGTTGAAGGATTGTCATGACCTATTGACAGAAGAGCTACCATTAACATGTCGTAATCTTATGGCATACGAGCATGTAAATGATTGATTAAATTTGTTTTTCAACTTGAAGATTTTCTACTGAGGGAATTATGGTCTTCTTGTGTTCACCCGATGATACACTGTAGTAACACTTCTTTATCTGTTACTTGTAACTACTGCTACAACAACATTAAATAATTTTTCACCTTATATTCCATTGCTCACGATTGTTTGAGGTTAAGTCCTTGTAATGAACCTTCTTAATGGTTCTGTAGTGTAGTTTTTTCTCTAGTTTTATTTATGGTTTTAAAGTTCTGATTTATATTTATTGGTTTTGTTTATCTGAGAGCACAATTCGGTTTACAAGAGATCTTTTACAATATTTAAAGGTATTGTTGGATTTCTGAATAGAAAAAATATTACTCCAACTTTTGATTTCCATTTAAGTTTCTCATTTATTCTTTTAGCATTCCGTTTTCATTAATTAAATATAGGTTATGGTACATTTAAACGACAAAAGATGTATTCGTCTCTATAGTCTCTATCATCTCTTTCTTCATCGAGTTTTAACTCTAGCTGTTATAAAGTGATTTACAAATGTAGTAATTGGCAAATGGACCCCACACAAGTCTCTCTCTGTACATAACTAAATAATAACATACGTTACAACATAAAGTGACCAATTTCTTAGGCCCAAATAGAAGATTTAATTATTATTTTTATTATTATTTGAACCCAATACCCAAAACTTATAATGTCTTCACTGAATCATCTAAACAACTTAACTTTGTTTGAGATATTATAATTTTAATTTATCTTTATTTCCTGCAATAAGACAAACTCAAAAACTTAAGTTATATTAAACATTTGAAAATTCAGAAGAGACCTACGTAATATTGAGAATCACTTTGTGAGTTGTTGCTCTACTAGGGTTCATCCTTATATATAATTATGAGCAATTTGTAATTTTTATGACACGAGTTAGCAGGAGAGGTGATTATTGAATTGCAATGAAGGCGTTCTTTAAATACAGAAAAAAACTGAAATGAAAATGCATAAAATGGAATATTAATCAAATCTTCCACACCCTTCTCTCCTATCCTATCACAGTTTATCCCTCATTCTCTATGATGGTTTTCTGGTGCCATTGCTCCTTCCAACAGAATTGGTTATATATACTGAGCACGTACCATATAGCATTATTCAAATATTATACATTCCCACCACCAACATTAGAAGTGAAGATAATTTTCTTTATAAGTACATGTTACACTGCAACTGCAAGAATAGAGAGAGAATACATGATAGAATCAACAAATTATTTATTTTTTCATTCACTCGTGAAATCATACAAAGTTGTAGAATGAAGCCTAATCCAGCCAATACAAACAAAGATTTAGTAATCCGTATCCTAACCGAGTAATTGGTGACCAACCATTAAATCGCTCTTTCATGTCAACCCTAAGTTAGGCAAATAGGATAGGTTTTTAGTGGGGTCAATGAAACAAGGCGAATTTACGACCAAGTTGTTCATGTATAAGAAGATTCAATCGCAGGACACAAGATCATATTCATGCAGTTAGGTAGATGTTACAAGACGACTAATTTCATCAAAATTAATCAACTACATACTTATAACGCCACAGATGATGTAGCTAAAGTGCCAGACACACACTAGTATCTTCTTTTCATGTGTTTAGAAGAGAGAGAAAAAAACTAGAATTGAAATAAAAGTAGGCTTACCAAAGCATTGAATTCAGACAGCAATATAACATAATGATTGTGTTCTTCCATCAACGGATAATTTACAGGGTTACTCTTTATCTGATTTCACTGTTAACAGCAAGTACATTTTTTTTCGGGAAAATACATGGATAGAGCATCACAGAATAATAATGCCCAAAAGAAGCTGCAAAGACAATGACACTGGAGGTTAATATTAAATCGCAACCTAAGAAAAAGATGTGAAGGACTGGATGTGTTCACATCAATACTCAACTAGAACACGAGTTTGGCAAAAAAAATATAACGAGGCAATTTAGAATTTACTTAGAATGTATGGCAAACAGTATTTAGAAAGAAAAGCCATATAGCATATATCCAGTTAAAACGCATTTGAAAATCGAACCAAAATAACTTTTCTTGAGAGTAACTAAAATAAGCATTCCCTGATATTTATAAGGCCAAGAAACTTTAGCAAAAACAGGAAAACTTTTGAGGGCAATAAGCATCACTAACAGTTAGCGGGAGAAATGAAAGGCATTATATATGATCTGATAGTTGTTCATCCTGAGTTTAGTGCCACGTTACAATAATTTCCCTCCTTAATACATATTATTCTTAAAGAAGCTGTTAGGACTGACTCCAACCACAAATCCATAGGTGGAAAGGGTCTGCAGGTTTGCTATAGGAAAATTAAAGGGTCAAATAACAGTTGTTAGTTGGTTCTGTAATTTTTTCTGTTATCTGGTGTACTGTCATTCCTATAAATAGGTCCTTTTCTGTGTAAAGGAGTTTATTATTATTATTATTATTATTTTCAGTTTAGTGGGTCATATTCCTGTGTGAAAAGGAGAAAGCTCTTTTGGGGGTATACTCGCATCCCCTGGTTCTAGGGTGATCATTGACTTTCTTTCAGCAATAAAGAAGCATACTCAATGTGTGGGTGTTAATATTTCCTAGTAGGAACTGTTTTCACTACTTCAGAAAAAAGAACCTAACAAACATTTCCAAGTAGATTAAGTGAAGTGTGTAGATAAATGTAAGAAAAAAAAGGATACTGAAAATTTACATTACCCAGGGTCCATATTGAAAACCGTCTTGAAAATCATCCAAAAGAAGTTTTGTCACACTGACTATTATAACAAACATGGATTGAGAGATTAATTTATTGTCTATTCTTCTTTTACTAAATAAAACACTTGACCATGACAATTAAGAAAAGGAAGAGTGAAATCTTAGATGGGAAAAAACCTTCTTATGTTGAGATGTCCCCTTGTTAGAACTTCAACATGGTTTCCAGTCTGCAGGACAGAGCTCCTAAAGGCCAAAGGTTCTTCCGGATCCTAACAGGTTCCTGAAAAGAAGATCTTCTATTCAGCTTATTTACAATGCACTTGACATTTCCATAAAGCAGACAGTCCTCATCGTAGATTTATATTAAATTTTGCAGTAGTTAGCTTCTGATGAATATAGAGGAAATAAAGTTTGAAATTAATCTCCCTTGTGTATAAATCACACATAGGATAATCTATTTATAATAGAGAAATACAACTAAAAGAGTAACCGAAAGTAAACAGAATAGACATAATATATTGTTTGATATTGTGGTTAACAATATCTAACAATATCTTAATAATATCAAATTATATCTAAATAATATCTAACACTCCCCCACAAGCTGAAGCATACAAATCGTATGTGCCAAGCTTGTTACAAATATAATCAATTCTAGGCTCCCGTAAAGACCTAGTGAAAATATCTGCTAACTGATCACTTGAGTTAACAAACTCAGTCTTGATATCTCCAGACATAATCTTTTCTCGAATGAAATGACAATCAATCTCAATATGTTTGGTCCTCGCATGAAATCATGAAAGACAGGATTAGAACTAATATGAATAGCAGCCTGATTGTCACATACAAGTGTCATCACAAGTGTCATTTGAGTGACATCTCCAAATTGTAACTCACTAAGCAATTGTCTGAGCCAAACAAGTTCACATGAGTTAACAAACTCAGTCTTGATATCTCCAGACATAATATTTTCTCGAATGAAATGACAATCAATCTCAATATGTTTGGTCCTCGCATGAAATCATGAAAGACAGGATTAGAACTAATATGAATAGCAGCCTGATTGTCACACACAAGTGTCATCACAAGTGTCATTTGAGTGACATCTCCAAATTGTAACTCACTAAGCAATTGTCTGAGCCAAACAAGTTCACATGCAGTTGAGGTCATAGCTCTATATTCTACTTCTGCACTGGATCTTGCCACAACACTTTGTTTCTTACTTTTCCATGAGATCAAGTTACCACCAATGGAGACACAATATCCAGATGTAGATCTTCTATCCGAAGGAGATCCTGCCCAATCAGCATCTGAGTAGCAAACAACTCTTGTATGGTTATTAGAACCATATAACAATCCTTTTCTAGGAGATCCTTTAATATACTTCAAGATACGAATGACTGCATTCCAATGATCTTCACATGGTGAATTAAGAAATTGACTTACTACACTGACTGCAAAGGAAATGTCAGGACAAGTAACTGTAAGATAATTCAATTTTCCAACCAATCTTCTATACTGCTCAGGATCAGATATAGACTCCCCCTGATTTGGTAGAAGTTTAGTATTGGGATCCATGGGTGTATCAATAGGCTTTGAACTCATCAACCCAGTTTCCTCCAAAATATTTATGACATACTTCCTCTGAGATATAACAATACCATCATTGGATTATGCCACCTCAATACCCAAGAAATATATAAGTTTGCCAAGATCTTTGGTTTGAAAATGGTGACAGAGATGTTGTTTCAACTGAGAGATCCCATGGTTGTCACTACCTGTAAGAACGATGTCATCAACATATACTATCAAGTAAACACATTTAGCACTCGAGTGTCGATAAAAGACAGAAAGATCTGCTTCACACCGAATCATACCAAATTGTTGAACAACCTTGCTAAACTTTCCAAACCAAGCCCTAAGAGACTGTTTTAGGCCATATAGGGATTTGCGAAGACGACATACCATCCTAGAAGACTCCCTCTGAGCAACAAACCCAGGAAGTTGCTCCATATATATTTCTTCTTACAAATCATCATTGAGGAAAAGATTTTTAACATCTAGTTGATAAAGAGGCCATTGTTGAAAAGCGGTCATGACGATAAATAAACAAACAGAAGTCATCTTTGCCACAGGGGAAAAAGTATCTCCATAATCCAACCCAAAAATTTGAGTATATCCTTTGGCCACAAGACGAGCTTTGAGACAATCAATAGTACCATCAGGTCCAACTTTGATAGCAAACACTCACCTGCAACCAACAACAGATTTCCCAGACGGTAACAGGACCAATTCCCAAGTTCCACTATTATGAAAAGCACTTAGTTCATCTAACATGGCCTGACACCAACCAAGATGGGCTAAAGCTTCACAGACAGTTTTTGGAATGATCACAGAAGAAATAGAGGAAAGACATGTATAAAAAGGTAATAACAGTTGATGATAACTTAAAGCAATATAATGGGGAGAGAGATTATGTGTAAAACGAATACCTTTTCGGAGGGCAATGGGAAGGTCAGACTCATGTGTCAAATCCGTAGGAGACAGAGTAGTTGGCACTTGAGTGGAGTCACATGGTAGTGGTTGTGATTGGTTTCGACAACTATAAATCTGAAGAGGCAGTGGAGAAGAAGCTGACTGCGGAGCAAGAACTAATGGTGAAGAAGACACAGTTAAAGGGTCACAAACAACATGAACATTAAACGTACTAGGAGTGTTGACAAGATTGGATGGAGACAGAGGTGAAGATTGACTTTTAAAATAAAGAGACAACTCATCAAATGTGACATATGCAGACACAAAATAACGGTTAAGAGAAGGAGAAAAACATTTGTATCCTTTTTGTGATCTTGTAAACCCTAAAAAAAACACATTTATGTGATATAGGAGAAAGCTTGTCAAGACCAGAACTGAAATTATGAACAAAACATGTAGACCCGAAAACTCTCAGAGGTAAAGGATGAAGTGGTTCATGAGGGAATAAAATGGAATGAGGTATTTTATTATCTAAAACCAAAAAAGACATGCGATTAATGAGATAACATGCAGTAAGAAGAGCATCACCCCAAAAATGTTGAGGAACATCTCCATGAATTAAAAGTGTGCAAGTTGTTTCAATAAGATGTCTATTTTTCCGTTCAGCTACACCATTTTGTTGAGGTATATAAGCACAAGAAGTTTGATGCAAAATACTGTGAGAAGTCATGAATTGTTTAAAAGAATGAGAAAAATATTCGCGACCATTATCACTACGCAAAACTCTAATAGAAACACCGAACTGAGTTTGAATTTTATTAAAAAAAGTTTGAAATATATGAAATAATTCAGAATGATTTTTCATCAAAAATAACCAAGTGCATCTAGAATAATCATCAATGAAAGTAACAAAGTATTGAAAACCTAAAGTAGACTTAACGCGGCTAGGTTCCCAAATGTCAGAGTGAACCACAACAAAAGGGGATGAAGCAACACGTGTGAAACTACGAGGAAAGGAAGTACGACTATGCTTGCCTAATTGGCATGACTCACATACCAAACTAAATAAGTTGGACAATGCAGGGACAAACTTCTGTAACTTGGTAAGACTTGGAAGACCTAACTGAGCATGAAAAAGAGAGGGAAACTCCATAATTGTATTAACATGTGTAGAGGGACGGAGATAATAAAGACCATGATACTCACATCCTGTGTCAATCACCTGTTTCGAACTCTGGTCCTATAAACACACAGAATTGTTGGTAAAAGTAACAACATAATCAAGAGAACGAGTTAGACGAATGATGGACAACAGGTTAAAAGGAGACCCAAGGACATAAAGAACATTATCAATGGTTAAAGAAGGAAAAAGTTTAACCGTTCCAACACCATGAGATGATACTCTAGAGCCATCAGCCAGTGTAACAGAAGGTAAATAATTAGGAGAGAATATAGAGGAGAACAAAGATTTGTTACCAGTAATATGATCAATGACTCCTGAATCAAAAACCCAAGGACCAGGAGAAAATGATTGGGTCAGACCAGCAAAATATGTATTTGTATGTGTGACAGATATAGTGAAACTAGAAGACTGTTGATCCTTATACCATTCGAGAAATTTGTTAAACATAGCAGGCATGTCGGATGCAACTGAAGGAGGATCCCCAACAGATAAAGGTGGGGAAAGATTGGTCTGAACAACTGCAGCAGATCGAGGAGGATGATCATGTAATGTATAACACTTATTAATCTTATGACCTAGCTTGCCACAATGTTCACACTTAGGACGCCCTTTTCCCTGTTTGCGAGGGCGAGTCCAGTCATCACGATGAGATGTTAACACCAAAGAATCATTAACAAAATTGGAAATAGTAGAAGAAGTGGAAGAAGTCATGAAGAGCGGGAGAACAAACCCTAAAGTAATCCAAAGTAATCCAATTAACCCACGAAACACAAATCCAAAATGAGAATACTAAAAATAAGTTCGCCAAGACTAAACGGTGCAGGAGACATTGGGACGACAAACTCCGATAGTGGTGATTTCAACGGCACAGTGGTCACCTGACCGAGACAAGCAAAATCATATGTCACCGGTCAAAAAATGAAACTCCGGCAAATTCTCTAGCAGCGGCGGATCCGATGACTACTCCAGCGGTAGCGGTGACAGCAACGTGAACTAGTACACCAGGTAAGTTCCCAGGAAAGAGAGGTGGGTCACTAATGGACACACTTAAATACCAAGTATTTCCTTGTCAGAACTTTCCTAGACATGCACTTTCACACTACCAAATAAAATTCAGTAACAAAGATAATTCTTTTCTGATGTGGAGGATCAGTTTACCAGCAGCGGTGGGGCGGCTCCAGCAGTGGACAAAAGGCGAAAAAAAAATTTCAAGATAACCTTAAGCTCTAGATACCATGTTGAATATAGAGGAAATAGGGTTTAAAATTAATCTCCATTGTGTATAAATCACACATAGGGTAATCTATTTATAATAGAGAAGTACAACTAAAAGAGTAACCGAAAGTAAACAGAATAAACAGAATATATTGTTTGATATTGTGGTTAACAATATCTAACAATATCTTAATAATATCAAACTATATCTAAACAATATCTAATAGCTTCTATATCTGTTTGGTGGAAGACTTATTTATTGAATTTTGTTGGAGAAGGGCTTAATCCCTCTTTTTTATTTTCATTTTTCTTCTTTAACTGCTTTCTTTTAGCTACAAAATAACAAGGGCATCCAAAGACAAACATATCATTGTATTGGAAAATACTAAATAAACGTGTCCTAGTTGACTGCAACCAACCAAGTACGTAATACAATGAGAAATTTGGACTCCTGCATTTCCTGACTTTATTAAACTCAATGCTAATGGCAATACTTCAATTAATACAAGACACGTAGTGGGAGATTTAACATGTGTGAACCGTGATTTGATTGTCGGTTTGTCAAGGTTTATTTTCATCAGTAGAGTGTAATATAACTCAGATTCACTACACTGCAGTTTGTTACTTTTACTGGAAAACAAACTATGTACGGTATAAGTCAGATTCACCGAACTTTATTGGATTCAGTCTCGGAGGATTATCACAATAGAGCACACTAAGAACAGTTACTTGATATTTACTGGATGGTTTATAAGGGTCGGAGACAAACCTTTGGCATATTCTGAGAGAAGGTAATCGATGTATACTCATGGTAAAGATTGGATCACCTCAGGACAAGATGCCACGTAGTGTTGCTACTGTGCGTAGAATATACTCTTCTGTTTCTGTTTCTACAGATGAAAGAGCTCATTCGATATAGAAGAACAACCTTTCCAAATTTAAATTGCAACAAACTCAAATTACTCCAGTTCAAACACAACATGCATGTTATATTAAACCAAACGAGTAGAAACAAGAAAAACTTCTTCAACTTTGTTTAACTACACTCCTTGATACTTTCATAATTACGTATTAGTTTAATTCTGTATAAAGCATAGTCATACCTGCATGCACTGATCCTGGTAACTAATATGCAATATCGGCATAGCCCTTCCTTTTTCAACCTGTAGAGTGAAATACAATCCTTCAGCACAATAATTAAATAACTATGTTTGTATCATATGTCTCAGCAAATAAGTCAATAGCATATGTGATTTTTCTTTACCATTAGGTTTTGACTGGATAAACTTTGGAAATAGGAACAAATCCAAGTGCAACCCGTCTAACAAACTAACTACTTATGAAATTGCACCTTTCTAGCTTTTATAATACCACGTTTTAATGCCGATATGATATGTACGTCTGGTGTCATTCCCTTGGAAGACATTTCATTAAGCAGTATGGTAGCTTTTTCCATGTGCCCTTTATTACATAAGCCAGAGACCAGAGCAGTGTATGTTACAGTATCAGGTTCTAGTCCACTGTCAATCATTTTATCAAAGAGGCTTACTGCTTCTTGAAAGTTATCTGTCTTCATGTGTCCATCAATCAACACAGTGTAACAAACAACATCCGGATTTATTTCCATTTGCTCCATATCTCTCAATATGGTGGAAACATTCAATGATGCATTTTTTTCTTTTCCATGAGGAGTGACACGCATTCTTAAATTTGCTTTCAAGTTCCCATCAAGTAAAACTGTGTAGGTAATGACATCAGGTTTGATCCCTCTCCTCTTCATCTCCAGGAAGAGGTCATGGGCCTCTTTCAAGCAATTCATCCTACAATAACTATTTATCATAATTGTGTAAATTACAACATCAGGAGTGAATCCTCTGTGTACAAAAAAGTCAAACAAAGAGCGAGCTTTCATCATATCGCCAGCCTGGCACAGTGCAGCTAAAACTTTTGAATACACTATTTTGCTAGGTTCTACATTTGACGACAACATTCTCTCCAGCAACATAACAGCTTTCTCAATGTCACCTGTCATACAGAGCTTAGTAAGTAGCTTAAAACAGGAAGCAGCTTTAGCCATATCTCCTTGGTTTGACAGCTTAAGGAAAATTTCATAGGATTTTTTGACAAGGTCCGCCTCACAATAGCCATTAACCATGGCAGAATAGATTTCAACACTCTTATCTTCCAGACTGTTAAAATACGCCTCAGCCTCCAAAACCTTTCCCCCTGAACACAAACCTTCGATGATCATCTTATGTGTAGTAGAGTTTGGCTTCAGGCCTTGACTCTCCATACAATCCAAAAGCTTTAATGCCTCGCGAGCATGACCATTTCTAGATAACCCAGCTGCCATTACATTATATGTTACAATATCAGGCTTGAAACCCTTATCCTTCATTTCGCTAAACACCCTAAACGTATTAACGAGATCATCCTGAAGGCAGTATCCATTGATAAGTGTTGTGTAGTGCTTAACATCTAAAGCCACACCCTTGCTCTTCATGTCTTCAAACATCACTGTCGCATCCTCCACCTTCCCCAACTTACACAAAGCATTAAAAACAATGTTGTAGGCAACCCCATCAAGAAACATCCCGGATTCCTTTAATTCCTTAAACTGATCCACCACAGCCAAATCCATGCCCATCTCTCCCAAACAATGCAGAATGTAGCTAACGATCACACAATTCGTCTTCAAACCCCTCAAAATCATCTCATCATGCAAATACAAAGCCTTGAGCAGATTATGACTCTTACAATACGCATGAATCAACGCAGAATAAACATACACATCAGGAACCACCCCCTGCCTCTCCATGTCATCAAACACACCCTGAGCCTTATCCAACTTCATCTCATTACAAAACCCGCGAACAACCGCAGTGTATGCATAAACCTCCAAAGGGGCATTCCCCTTTTTCAAAGCCTGCAGCACCTCATACCCCAAATCAGACCTATGGTTATTACAAAGCCCTTCAATATAAGCAGCATAGCAATACGAATGAGGGGCGACTCCAACTCTCTCCATTTCCTCAATAACACAAAGGGGTTGCTTCAAGTCACCCTTTTTACACAATGCCTTGATGACAATTGCATAGGTATAGCAATTGGGTCTGAAACCAAACCTCTTGAGTTGTTCATAAACAGCAAGTGCCTTATCCACCTCGCCGTGTTCCACCAACCGGTTGAAGAGGAAGTTGCAAGTGAGAACATCAGGGACAATTCCGCGGCGCCGAGTTTGGAACAGGAAATCAATGGCCTCATCAAACATGTTGAGGCTGACACAGGTTTTGACAAAGCCATAAAAAGCTCTGAGCAAGTAATGGTTGTGGTGGTTTAAGTCCTGGAAGAGTGTTTCGAAGAGGTGAAGGAGCTGAAAGGGGAGATGGTGTTGTTTGGAGAGAGTAATGAGGTGGAGGAAGAGAGAGTCTAGTTTCATGGGGTCGTTCCAGAAAGAGAGGATTTTGATGATGGCGGCGTAGGTGGAAAGGGTGTGGGGGAAGCCGTTGGGGTGGAGGTGAGTGAAAGAGGCTAGGGCATCGGAGGGGTGTTGGTGGAGGGTTTGGAGGACGTGGAGAGTGGATGGGTGTGAAACGGGTTTGGAAGAGGGTGTGTCAGAGAAAGAGGGTGAGGTGGAGTGAGCGAGTGCAGTGGATGCAAATGGGTGTGAAAAGGGTGTTAGGTTGGGTTTGTGAATGATTTTGGAGAGAAGGTTGGAAGCATGAAGCCGCATGGACATGGAAAAGAGAACAACATGCGGTGGTGGTGATGGCGGCGACTACACCCTACAAACAACCTCTCATTTTGCCTTCAACCAGGTTCGTTTATATCTGCGGTTGCGAGTATTTTGAAAGCATTCAAACTGCGGTTTCACCCCACGCAATCAAAACACAAATGCTTTAGCCGCCGCAGCATTTTTCTTTTCAAAATATTTTACCTCTTAAATTATATTTTAGTCTAAATACCTGAATTTTTTGACTTTTTTTCATAAATAATAATGTTTTCAAAAATATTTACCAAAATAGCACTTCTGTAACTTTATTTACACAACTAGCACTGTTTACTGTTCACGTAATAAAATAATATTATTTCGCATGAATTGTTCAATCGTTCACTGTTCATCTGTATTAAAATAATATTATTTCGCAGTCTTGAACTCTCGCTCAGCGAAGAAAACCTTCGCTTGAGCGAGGAAACCTGTAACAAAGGGGTAATCTGGGGTAAATTATCGCTCAAGCGAAGGTTTTCTCGCTTGAGCAAAAAGTATGATCAACTATTATCCAATTATAGTCGATCACTTTGACATATATGACTTTAGATAGCGGTTATTTGGCCAACCGCTATCTAAACTACTACATTAGATAGCGGTTATTTACCCAACCGCTATCTAAACTACTACTTTAGATAGCGGTTATTTGGTCAACCGCTATCTAAACTACTACTTTAGATAGCGGTTATTTGGCCAACCGCTATCTAAGGTGACTCAAGCGAACTGCGTTCGGCGTTTCATGATTCGGTCATTACTCGCTCAAGCGACAAAGTCACCGCTTGAGCGATGAAGCCTTCAAACAAGGGGGACTCTCGGGTTCTGTTTCGCTCGAGCGAGAAACCATCGCTTGAGCGAGAAAACCTGCAACTATTTACAATGCTGAGTCACCCACCGAAGTCAGGATTCCCATGTCTTTCTGATGCACACAAGTAAAGAATCCAATGCTGAGTTACCCACCTAAGTTAGGATTCCAATCTTGGATTCCCTGCATTGGGTTAGACAAAAAAGCAGAAACCATGTGAGGGAGCATTGGATTCCAATCTTAGACAAAATCTTGGATTCCAATCTTGGATTCCCTGCATTGGGTTAGACAAAAAAGCAGAAACCATGTGAGGGAGCATTGGATTCCAATCTTAGACAAAATCTTGGATTCCAATCTTGGATTCCCTGCATTGGGTTAGACAAAAAAGCAGAAACCATGTGAGGGAGCATTGGATTGAAACCAATGGACTTCATTATAAATAGACTACTTTCATTCTTTGAAGTTCTCACATTGCACACTCCTAAATCTCTCGAAGCTATTTGCATTATTTCTTCTTCTTACCTTTAGTCTTCTTTGTGTTCCACACTCCTAAAATGGGTGTAGTGTCTACTATTGTCCACTATGATGGTTTCATGAACCCATGTCCCATGGAGGGAGTTACCTTCAATACTCGGGACTGCAAAACTTGTTCCTTTAAAGAGAGGAATTTCTCTACAAAGGCTGAAGAAGTTGATCCACAAGAAATTGGAGAAAGAACCCCATGAAAATGTAGCAACCATCCACTTTCGCTGTCCAACTAGACTCGGAGTTGGGATCAACAACTTCATTGCTGTTGAGTTGAAAGATGATGACGACGTGGAGGCCATGTTCGATGTGCATGATTCAAACTCAAGTCTATGTGGTATTGAAATTTTGGTTTCATTTAAAACTTCTTCTTCTTCATACCCCAACACACACTCACCAGAAATTTCACCCTTACCCTACCAAGCTTTGCCAAACACTCACCCAGAAATACACACACATAATGACTACATCCCTTTGACCCAACTTCTAAGTGGCTCTTCCACCAACATCAACGAAGAACTACCCACACAAGAGAACGAAATTGTTGGCATCCCAATTGAAGTCGTTGATTCTTTTAGTGAGGATGAAGACGAAGATGAAATTCTCAGCCAACACCAAGATGATTCAGAGGACGAACAACCACATATCCCTACACATGCACCAAACTTCATGGAACCATACAACCCACCACAACATTTTCTTAACTTTGAAAATCACATTCAACAACAAGACCCAGAGTATGGTCATGCGTTGGACAGAGAGTCTTTTGTTTCTCCGGCAGGAACTCTATTTCTTGGACAACGTTTCATAACAAAAGAACAAGTTCAAGATGTCATCAACCGTTTTCACATTGTCAATCACTGCACATACAAGGTGAAAATTTCAAACCAAAGTAGATATGTTGTTGAATGTGGTGATAACCAATGCAATTGGAGATGTCGAGCAATATTGCGTACAAGAGAGCAATATTGGGAGATTATGAAGCTTGAAGGGCACCATACATGTGTTTCGCCATTAATCAGCCAAGACCACAACAAGTTGGGATATAAAATGATTTCCCAAACAATTGGTCAACTAATTGATGCTGATTCGTCAACACCAATATCCACAATCATAGCCCACATCCAATTAACAACGGGTTACACTATAACATACGGGAAGGCCTGGTTGGCAAAACAAAGGGCAGTGGAGATCATCTACGGCAATTGGGAGGATTCGTATAAGAAGTTGCCTTGTTTGTTACAAGCGATGCAACAATTTGTTCCCGACTTCATCTACAAGCTGCAGATCACAACCAGACTTACCAAGGTGAAGTCCTTCAACAAAATTCAAATATTTTTAAACGTGTGTTTTGGGCGTTTAGGTCATGCATAGATGTATTTGTTCACTGCAAGCCCATTGTTCAAGTGGACGGAACTTTTTTGTATGGAAAATATAGAGGTACCTTGTTGGTTGCAGTAGCACAAGATGGCCGCAACAACATCCTCCCCATTGCGTTTGCGGTGGTTGAAGGTGAAACAAGTGATGCCTGGTTTTTTTCTTAAAAAACCTTCAAAGATATGTCACACCCCAACAAGGATTATGCCTCATATCGAACCGACATGAATCCATTAGAAGTGCATACATGAGAAATGGAAGCGGATGGACGAGAAAATAATTCAATGCATGTCTACTGCATTAGACACATTGCACAGAATTTTATGAGACATTTCAAAAACACCGCACTGAGGAAAGATGTTGTAAATATGGGTAATTCCTTTGCTTCAAATTTGTTTCAATTTATTCATTATATAATTGTTGCTAATAAATATTTATATTAACTATGTTTTTTTAATATTGTTGTAGTGTATGGGATGACTAAACCACGATTCTACTATTATTACAACATCTTGAGGCAATGTGACATACAAGCAGCTAATTGGTTGGATGAGATACCTAGAGAAAAATGGGCACTTGCATGGGACAATGGGCGACGTTGGGGCCACATGACGACCAACATAGCAGAGTCTATCAACTCTGTTTTGAAAAAAACAAGAAATCTACCTATTTGCTCCATGGTCACCGCAACGTACACCCGTTGCAACAAATTTTTCATTGAAAGAGGGAGGCAGATAGATGTCATCATCAATGCTGGTCATGTATACTCTGAAATTTTGGTCAAGAATTTAGAGGAAGCACAAACACAGGCAAACACGCATAGGGTCATAACGTTTGACAGGTCTACCACAAAATTTGTAGTAGAAGAAACACAAAACCCGCGTGAAGTTCGACCAGTAGGGAAGTTTGCAGTTCATCTTGATGAGTTATGGTGTGACTGTGGGAAATTCCAAAAATTTCACATGCCTTGTTCACATGTTCTTGCTGCATGCAAGCATGCACACCATGACTTCAACAACTATATTAATTCAGTGTATACCTTACAACAAGTTTCGAAGGTATACGGAACACAATTTGGGTTATTGCGAAATGAAGAATATTGGCCAACATACACAGGACCTACTTTGTGTGCAAATCCAGAAATGAAAAGAACTTCAAAGGGCCGACCAAAATCAAGTCGTATAAGAACTGAGATGAACATTACAGAACATCAAAGTAGGATTAAAAAATGTTCATATTGTCATACCCCTGGTCATAGCAGAAGAACATGTCCCAATATTGCATGTGCATCTACTTCGCATCATTAGATTGTGTTAGTTAAGAAATGTCTCAATGTATGAAACTTACGAGTTTTTCAATTAATTGAAAATGATGAAGATCTTATTGAATCATTTGATAAAACGAAGATCTTATTCAATGTATGTTTAAAAAGTTCAAGCAAACTGATTTTAAAGAGTATTTTCATAACTGCTGCATTAATTAATCTGTTGAAAGTTTGTTTTAATCTGTTGAAATAGTCGTTTCAATATGTTAAAAGTCCTTTCAATCCATTAATACGTTCTTCATTCTTTAACAGATTTGTTTTAGCTGATACTACAACGGTTATATCAATTAAAACACTTTACAAAACTTTTCTAAGTTTGATTCAATCGATTGTTTCGTGTTTTAATCGATTGATATACTGCAAAACTTTCTTATAAAAACTTTCCAAGTTATTTTAGCTGATAAAAAGAAGTTTTAATCGATTAAAACTTTGTACAAACTTTTTCGAAGTTGTTTTAATCGGTTGAAACGCGTTTTAATCGATTGAAACTCTGTACAAAATTTTTCCAAGTTATTTTAATCGATTGAAATACGTTATAATCGATTGAAACAGATCTGATCGGTCATAATTCAATTCTGATCGATCATAACCAACTCTGATGGGTCATAACTGCATTCTGATCGATCATTCTGACCCTTGAAGTGATTTTAATCGATTGAAACGTGTTTTAATCGATTGAAATAAGTTCTGATCGCTCATATTTCAAATCTAAGCCACTCCACAGAATTGATGCTTGACAGCCCCACAACCTCAAGCACTTTAACCCTGAGTAACCAACCAACCATCAGTCAAGAAATTTTAAATTCTCTTTACATGCTATCATCCCCATATTCACCTTCAATGAATCAATTACAGTCAGCTCCAGGTAAAACAATACAGAAACAATATAATTTCATAAACAGAACAAACTCCCCTTTCAGCAACATCATATAATGCAACCTGGGTCCCCTGCAGGTTTGCTCGCTCAAGCGATGGTTTCTCGCTTGAGCGATAATTGACCATAGCTAAACGTCCAACGCAGTTAGCCACATAATGCAACTTGCGTCACCACATATTTCAATCACTTATCGCTCGAGCGAAAGTACGCCTCGCTCGAGCGAAACAGAACCCGAGAGTCCCCCTTGTTTGAAGGCTTCATCGCTCAAGCGGTGACTTTGTCGCTTGAGTGAGTAATGACCGAATCATGAAACGCCGAACGCAGTTCGCTTGAGTCACCTTAGATAGCGGTTGGCCAAATAATCGCTATCTAAAGTAGTAGTTTAGATAGCGGTTGGCCAAATAACCGCTATCTAAAGTAGTAGTTTAGATAGCGGTTGGGCAAATAACCGCTATCTAATGTAGTAGTTTAGATAGCGGTTTGCCAAATAACCGCTATCTAAAGTCATATATGTCAAAGTGATCGACTATAATTGGATAATAGTCGATCATACTTTTCGCTCAAGCGAGAAAACCTTCCTTGAGCGAGAATTTACCCCAGATTACCCCTTTGTTACAGGTTTCCTCGCTCAAGCGAAGGTTTTCTTCGCTTGAGCGAGAGTTCAATACGCGAAATAATATTATTTTAATACGAGTGAACGGTGAACGAGTTGCGCAAAATAATATTATTTTATTACGTGAACAGTAAACAGTGCTAGTTGTGTAAATAAAGTTGCAGAGGTGCTATTTTGGTAAATATTTTTGAAAACAGTATTATTTATGAAAAAAAGTCGAATTTTTTTTCTATCTAATAATTTTTTAATTCGTATACATTAATCTTAATATAATTATATTAATATATAACTCAATATTTTTATATACCATATGTCGTATTGTTCCATTTGAGTTGGGTAAGAGTAAACAATCAATACTTTAATAATATATTTAAAAATAAAAATAAATTAAATATATTTAATTAGATTAATTTATTATTTATATAAAAAAATAATTTCTTTTAATATAATTTATTTTTTTATTTTCTCTTTAATTATTTTTTATTATTTTTTTCTCCTTTGATGTCTGTATTTCTTTCTTTTTCTTCATTTTGTTATTTTTCTATTCTATCATATTTTTCAATTAAAAATAAAAAATTAAAATGTGATAAAATAAATTTTTTATTATTTTTAAAAATATAAATATTTAAATGATTAAAAATATTATAATTTAATATATTATATTTTAAAAAATGTTATATACTAAATTTGAGATAATTATTATTATGTTATAATTATTAAAAAAAGTAAATATTTATTTTAAAGTAATTTTTTAATAAATATATTTTTAAAATTAATAAATAATTTGAGATATCACATTATTATTATTATGTTATAATTGAATATAATTATAATTATTAAATAAAAATATATTTAACTCATAAATATTAATATTTTTTTAATTAAATAAGTAATTATTTATTATAATAAAATAATTTAAATTAATAAATAAAATTATTTATTATCATTATATTTTTAAATAATTATATAATATTTTTTTAGTTTTAATATTAATTTTAAAATATTTTTATTAAATAATTAACTGAAAATAAAATAACAGTAATACAATAGTTTTTATCCTTAAATCGTGACCTCTTGGCAGAAATGAATGAGAGAGGAATGTAGATTAGATTGAGCAAGGGAAAAAAGCGGCAGTGTGCCAGCAACAACGAACTACTGACACCTCACTCGATCACTCACCTCACACTTCCATTTGTTTCCTCAGTCATACCACAAACCAAACACACAACATAACATTCTATTCGATTATATTCTTATTCTCTGTTTTTTGTGAGATGTGAGTCATACCTTTTGGCCGTGTTCTCTGTCACCAAAATCTCTTCTCTCTCCACAGAATGGCAGCATTCATATTCACGGTTTCACAGGACGGAACCGCTGATTTCCTAACGGTGCAGGAGGCGATCGACGCCGTGCCGCTCGGAAACATTCGCCGGACGGTCATTCGGGTCTCGCCGGGAATCTACCAGCAACCGGTGTACATCCCCAAGACCAAGAATTTCATCACTCTCGCTGCTCTGGCCCCAGAGGGCACTGTGCTTACCTGGAACAACACTGCAACCGGAATCAATCATCATCAAGTACGCACCTTTTGTTCTCTAAGTCTTTTACCTTGGATGGATTTGTGGACATGTATCAAAATTGTTCATTTTATGATGTTGTTGTCGTTTGGGTTAATGGGTGTGTGACAAAATCGTTGATTTGTTTCGATCATTCCTTCATTTGAATTAGTGGATTAATGAATTTGATCATTTCTATTTATCATTTTTTCCATTTGAATAAGCGGGTATGTGTCAAAAAGCTTCTTTTTTTTTTTTTTTTTCTGTTGGATTTGTTTTGCAGCCTGCTAGGATTATAGGGACTGGAACGTTTGGTTGTGGAAGTACCATTGTGGAAGGGGAGGACTTCATTGCTGAGAATATTACTTTTGAGAATTCTGCCCCTCAGGTAATGCATTGCTTGTGTTGTGAAATTTCACTGTTGTCATGGTTTTTAATTGTACTGTTTTTTTTTTTCTTATCACTTACTTATTTTGATGAATAGATTCAAAAGCAATTTTAATAGTTCCCCTTCCCCTCCCCTTTGTCCGTAGTTGACATGATGATGCATGTAAATGGTCTGTCATTGTCTTACATACAAATGTATTGATTTTTTAGTAGAAAGAATACTGGTAATTTGAAGCTTCCATCTGCAGATTGCTGAAGACAGAGAATTGAGATCCTTTGACATTTATTCTTTTTCTAGGCAGTTATCTGGTTGTAAATTCTTTAGGTGATTTAGTATTATTGCTTTATACACCTATATCCCAATTTGTTTCTTCTTAAGTTTAATGCAGATAAATATATTTACAGGTAGAAACTATGAAAGGCCTTATAATAGTGCTCCTTCCTTTTCCTTCTCTTTCTGACAGGGTTCAGGGCAAGCAGTTGCAATTAGAGTAACAGCAGATCGATGTGCCTTCTACAATTGTAGGTTCCTTGGATGGCAGGTAGCTCCAATGTCTTGATGTCATTTTATATAGGTTTGGAGCTTCGTGATTTTGTGTATATTGGTGATATACGTATATTGAATTGCTGAAAAAAGTTTTGACCCTAAAAATTCATCTTTGCTTATGATCTATGAAATGCGTTAATTTCTTTTATGGATGTGTTTCTGTGCAAGTAATTATAGTTACTTTTCTGACTCCTTCTCTTGAAATGAGTAGACTAGTTGGTCCTGCGTTCAATGCCCCAATTCTGTTTCATTAAGGACATTCTCTCCAAGTTACAAGTGGATAAATTTGTTCAATGATTTTGGTGCAGGACACATTGTACTTACATTACGGTAAACAGTATTTGAAAGATTGTTACATTGAAGGAAGTGTGGACTTCATCTTTGGCAATAGCACCGCTCTTTTGGAGCACTGTCACATCCACTGCAAGTCTGAGGGCTTCATAACTGCACAAAGCAGAAAATCATCACAGGAAACTACTGGTTATGTATTCTTAAGGTGTGTAACTGAACGCTTTCCAGTGTTAACAATCTCATCTACCCCCTATTACTGTGCTTTAGTCTTTATAAGTTCTTAAACTGTTCAATGAGGAAAGATTTAGTTCTGAAGATCATATGTGTTGTATTCAACAATTCTATACATGCTGTGAGAAAATACACTGATTGCTACTTTGTTATTCCATGAGAAAATTATTCTATTTTAGTGTATGTTGATGGGAAAGAGCTAAGAAAAAATGTAAGAGAAGATTTTGCATAATATTACAATATAATGTCTTAGGTAAAGTAATGTCACATTTAGGCGCAAAGGCGGGGCCGGGGTGGGGATTGCACTACCCATCCCCCCCATGTCCCTGATTTTTTAAAGCGGAAAAAACCCAAACCTATCCCCGTCTCCAGTCAATTTGGTTTTTTTTCTGTCAAACTCGGAACAAGAACGAATCGGTCCTCGCGGGTACAGGTTTAATTATCATCCTTAGTACAGTTGTACTTCTAATGTAAGAATAATAATTTTAATATTCTAGCACTACTATTTGATGAGTTTGTTCTTTTAGGATTTTAGGAGTTAGAGCTTATGTAAATTTAATTTAAATTAGCTTCTTGTGAGTTGTTTTTGGTCTTACTTAAATAGAAAAAAGAAATACTAAACTTGGCATTTGGTCTTGTGAGTTCTTTTTTTAAGGGTATCTAAGCAAATAAGCTGAAAAAAGAATTGATATCAACCCCATTTGCTCAAGGGCTGACTTAGGATCTCAAGTGTTTCCCTAACGCTTTCTTTTTCTCTCTTCTCTTGAAGAAGTTTTTTTCTTATTTTCTTTTGATCCTCACACATTTCTTGTGGACTCGAAGGTTTGAGCACAATCTTCTTGTCTTGGTGCATGAAAGAGACCTTGTTGGTGAATCCATTATGATTGACTCTTTTATCAAATTATCACAGTCTTCCCAAAAATAAGTGGCTGGCCTCCATAGGAACAACTGATGGGGACATGATCATGAGTAAGGGTAAAGATCCACTTGAAAGACTTGGCGAACCTATGACAAGAGCTAGAGCAAAGAAAACAAAGGAAGTTTTTCAACAAGTGTTGTCCATATTAAATATAAACCCACATTTCAAGGAGAAAAGACTAAATTTGTGAATTGTATCATGGCCCAAATGGAGAAAGACTAACGCATCACTTTGCTTCATTTTTTAAGTGATAAGTTTGTTTAAATAATGACTCAATCCTTGGTAAAATTGACTGACCAAATTATGTTTTGGGTTAATCAATTAATGAACTTTAAGTTGAATTTTATTCAGAAATATTATAGTTTAGCTCTTTTATCTTATTGAGAGTGATTCTCCTAAGTTCTTAAGTGATTCAAGAACCTTTGGTTGTATCAAATGATGTTTTCACATCCTTTGTGATCCCTCCCTTGGGAAAAGTGATTCTTTCCTTCGATCTTTCACATTCACCTTTTCACCTCTTGTTCATTCTTTACCAGAACCCAGAAAATTCAATTCTGTCCAACCCTGAAATTTTCACCACTTTTTAATTCACTTTCTCACTAATTTTCTAAATTTCCTACAAGGATCTAACCTTAAAGATCCTAAGTAACAAGGATCTAACCTTAAAGATCCTAAGTCAGTCCTTGAGCAAATGTGGTTGATATCAAGAATGCACTTGTTAGTATTGTTTGATGGTGCTGAAGTTGTCAAATGGTGACTAACAAGATATCAATTACCCTGACAGGAGTCTATCTCTTAAGGATTAAGATTGATTAATAGAGATGGTTTAACTCATGAGGGTAAAATTGTCTTTGTAAGCAATTTAACTAATAAGTCAGTATCATTTCTGCCTTATTTCGTTTCTATAAGTCTATATAACTGCATTCTACAGTTCCAGGCTTGGAAGTCCTTTGAGACTTGGAACTTTACTCTCTACGATATTTATATATTTTATGTTCCTATATTTCTTTTTCAATACAAATAAAATCGTGTTAGGCCAACACTTTCTGTAAGTCATTGGTTGTAGATGTCCCTGTTCAGAAATACTTTTTATATGTATATATTCTGTACCATTTGGCTCCTGATAAGTATTTTTTACCTGAGTGGTCTCTGGTGCCATTGCAGATGCGTTATCACGGGTAATGGAGGAAATTCGTATGCATATCTTGGACGACCGTGGGGTCCTTTTGGAAGGGTTGTCTTTGCATACACTTACATGGATCAGTGTATAAGACATGTTGGATGGGATAACTGGGGGAAAATGGAGAATGAGAGAAGTGCTTGCTTTTATGAATACAGGTTAGTTCATGTCACATTCCATTTTGCACTGTTTTTGTTTTGCCGGGTCTGAAACAGTTCTACATTACTGCAACAATTATAATATATAAATGTAGCTTATAGTCAGATGGTGAACTGCTTCATATTGCCAGAAGATTCTTTGATTTGATTAAAGAATATGATGTGTTATACTGACACCATGAATATGCTGTTGGACACACTTTTTACTTGCCTTAAATTCAAAATTTGTTTGTTGAGTTGAAGAAGTTTGTAGTAATTTTATCACAACGATAGGTGTTTTGGACCTGGTTGCTGTCCATCCAAGCGAGTAACATGGTGTAGAGAATTGTTGAATGAAGAAGCTATGCAGTTCCTCTCACATCCTTTCATCGATCCAGAACCAGAGAAACCTTGGCTTGCTCAAAGGATGGCCCTCAGAATTCCATATTCTGCTTGAAAAATAGTGAGGACCCCTGATGCAAATAACATCCATACACAGTTTACACGCTTAAATATTTTGTTTGTTCGGTTAAGAAAATATGCCTTATTTTCATCCGGGTTAAGTGCTAGATGATGCGTTTTCTTGTATCAAATCTCCCAAGAGGTTATATTTCCTTCATTGAACAATTTTGTGAGTTTGTAATAAATAGAGAAGGGCTTCATAGCCAAAATATAGATGTGATTTAGTAGTTACCATTGTAGGCATTTATGCTCAGACTCCGGTTTCATACTCAGATTGAGTTGATTTTTAAATATTTTGCAAAATCAATTCAGGTCAGAAATCAGATCAGAGCCAATTCAAATAAGCGCACATCGGTTATTTGAGTTAGGATTATTATCTGGTCAGTTCAGTGGTTGAACCAAGTACTGTTTGAGCTCGCATGGTTTAACTTGGTTTGTAGTCAGTTTAAATCGGTTCATACCAGATGTTTTTTAATTTAGTTGGTTCAAACTATATAAAAATATTAAGAAGCTGTAAAGTAAACAGTTGTTGCTAGAAGTAATTTCATGTTTTTCAAATTTCTGTTGCTAACACACAAATAGCTAAACTAGACTAGAAAAAATTGGTAATTGAGGAAACAAAGGGAACAACATTCTTGGAGTTTCTCATTTTCCTAAAGATTTCATTCTACAACAGATATTAGGTTCTTTAGGTTAACAGAGTCAATACATAAAAGAAAATTGAGAATGAAGCATGTCTCATGACCAAAAGAGAAGGTCTAGTATTGGCTATTCGGAAAGCTTGAAGTACAGAATCAAGGCGATAACAACTACCAGGACCACAACAACGGTGCTGAAAATCCACTTGTTCCTGTTCATCCTTGTTGACATGTTAGACAAAATTTTCTTGCTCTTGCCTGTGTTATCATCCACTTCATGAAGCTGCATGAGGAAATATAATCATCAGTGGTTGAAATGCTATACGTAAGTGCAAATATAAAACCTGTGTACAGAAAGTTAATAGAAGAGATGAGACAAAGTCTAAAGGTAAATTTCGAAAAACATCTTATTACTTAAAAGTTAGTAATTTACCACAATAGGAAAGTTACTAAAAGCCAAATAAATGCTGCGTATCAAAGTTAGTAATTTACCACCATAGGAAGGTGAATTTTGAAAAAACATCTTATTACTAAAAGAAAACAGCAAAGGTTAAGCAAGAAAGTTACCGTGTCATGTGTATGCAGTAGAGATTGTCTCTGTGAATGCAGATCTTGAAGAATCATAACGCCAAGATCTTCTGTTTCCAACATTGTTCTTGTGCTGTCCTGTATTCCGTCACTGGATTTGTTCAACCTTTCAGTTGATGTCATTAATCTTTCTCTATGATCAGCTGATGCCTATTGTAATCACAGTAGCATCAAGTGTCAGATTTGGTGGTGTCATTCCAAGAAACATGAGTGTTCTGAATGAAAATTGAATCACCTTAATCAATCTCAAAATCTAGTATCATTTATCAACCAGTTTAAATATTATTTCCCCCTATAGACTGAAGCTATCACCATTTTTATTTTGTTTAGATGACAACGAAATTTGAACCTAACATAAATCTCCCCCTCCAACCATCACTAGGCAAACCATAGTGGATCAAGTTATCACCTTGATCTAATTATGCTTGGTGGGAAAATGGTATATTTATCATCAATCATCATAAGATAACTTCATAATCCTTAACGTTTTCTAATTAACTTTTACCACTCAAAAGATTAATTTTATTAGAATATCTGATATACACCCCTATTCTAATCTAAATAAGTATAGAATAATATGTATCGAAAAATTGAATCTTTATTTAAAATTTTCAACACAATCCATGATAACTGACAATTGTTCATAAAAGTTAATAATCAGTAAATTTTATACTTGCCCTTAAAATAAGTTAATATTTTTTTGTTGTTTTACTTGAATATGCTTCACTAGATGATGGGAAAAACACAACTTGTCTTTTTCAATGGAAAAGAAATGCAATTACAGTAGCCACTACTTAACCAATTGGTGTAACCATAAAGGAAAAGGAGGACCAAATTGTTGCCTCATTTTGGTTACACAGAACAAGGGATTGTCCTTTAACATCAACAAAAGATGTTAAATTAGAAATATACCTTTATAACATTTGTCATGGTCGATTCTAACAACTCATCTCGTGCAGAAGGGTTAAACACACCAGATATAATTTTCTTCTCTTCTCTTTTAATGTTGTTCAGATCTGCTTTGTACTCCCTTACTTTAGCAAGAAGCACAGTCTTAATGTCTGGCTGTAGTCTTCTTGCCTCAAGGTCCATTTTTCGAATCTACAAATTCATAAACACCACCATATCAGAAAGCCAGAAAACAGAAGAAAGAAAGGAAGCTTTTCCAACCAAAAAAAACAATAAGTGAAGAGGAGGATACCAAAGCTTCTGCCTCTTCAATTCCCTCCTTTATTTCTGAAACTTTTTGTTTCTTTAGTTCTGCAGATTGAACACAAATATACAAATTAAAATATATTTACACACACATTGTTCTACAATGAAATCATAAGTTTCATTTATTTCTTTTATCTTTTTTCTGTTATTTTGATGTTAAGACAGTCTGATGAAATATTTTAAAGTCCATTGAATTTCTTGACGTAGTCTCATAAAAATGAGTGATATTAGATTCCCTATTACTTTGTGATCACTGAATTAGAATACCGTTATGCACACCCACCTTATACCCTGTCAAACTAACAAAAGTATAGAAAATGAGGAGCACCAAGCATAAAGAAAAAGGCGTTTGAAAGAATTATAGAACCTAGATTGGTTCATTTAAACTTAAATCTTAAAGTGCATAGCATTAATATTGAAAGTTTATTACACATTATAATTTAAATTAAAACAGAATTTTGATTAAATAGAAGCTTAAGTAGAACTTGAATCCAAAAAAAATAGCAATTTTAAATAAGACAAACTAAAATACTAGTAATTATTGTATTTTAAGTGATCAAAATCAATCTAACACAATAAATATTAAATAAACTCACAAATAAAATACATCATAGAAAATTTACAAAATAATTGATATGCATGGTAGGATCATCTTCAAGTCTTGATCTTCTTTTATAATTTATTTTTTATTTTCTTCAATGGGTGGTCATGACATGTGTTCAAGTCTTTCACATAATTTACTATCCTTTCTTTAACATGTTATGCTGAGTTTTGAATATCTATTATAATAGTTAGATATACCCAAATGAAAATTATAATAATAATCTCAATATCTATTTAACTATGGTTATAATAATGTATAAATAAATTACGTATCTTTACGATGAAAAAATATAATTTAAAATTATTATCATATTTTTGATAAATATAAATAAAATATAATCAAATTTTAAATATTAAATATGTTTATTAGTCTGTAATTATCTTTAAATATATAATATTATATTTAAATAAAATATGTGATTTAGTTAAGTTTGTTTTGAAATCTGATATTATATAAACCATGTGGTTTTATTTAATTTGTTTTGAAATCTGAATCAAATTGTACAATTTAAAAAAAAAAAAACTTTGATTTTGATAATCCCATTTTGTGGTATTTTATTTTCATCAAATTAATTTTAAATTTCTCTGTATATTTTTTCCTCTAGATTTGAAATATTTCTTTTCATCGATTTTTGAAATTCTCTATATTTTTCTTCTATATATCTTTTCATGGGGGTGGATTTTTAACTTTACTCAAATCAGAGTTTGTTTTTTCTAATGAGATGCTCATAATAGTTAAACATACACTAATGGAAATGTTTATCAAAATAATTTTTAATAAAAAAATTATCTATAATTTTTTTTTTAAATCCATTACTTAAATTTGAGTTGAATTTAAAACATCATGGCAGACTGACTCATCCATCATATATTTGCTTTGATTTTAAGAGACTATTCAATTAAAACTTTACATTATTAAGTAATTAAAATTTATAAATATTTTAAAAGTATTTATCATAAAAGTAAAATAGCTTAATGTATGAAAAAAATATGTAATGAAAATAACAAAGATGAAAATTAATATTCAAGTACCTCCACTAATAGCAGCAGCTTCAATGCATGTTTTTGATAGATTTGCTGATAGTTCACAGTATTTGCGCTCGTAACCCTCCAACTCATTACTCATTGTCTTTAACCTCTGTTCAAGAACAAGATTTTCATTGTCATTCAAAATTACCCATTTCCATAACAAAAACAGAATCTGAACAAGGATCTTGTGATCGGAAATTAGCCACCAGTGGAAATGAAATAATTAAACAGTGAGATTGATGAAGTTGAGATGCACGCAGAGATTACCGAAAATTTGAGGGGAAAATGTCACAAAATCAGGAACAGAGTGTTAGTTGAATAATGGAAAAGAGAGGATTTTGTAGAGATGAAAGACGATGATGACGTGGCAGCAATGCATGTATCTTTTGTCATGGCTGACGTGGATTGTTTTCGTGGAGGCGTATATAGATAACACATGTTATGGTTTGATATTTGTGGCTACACTTGATTGTTTCATTATTTTTCAGCATTTTTATGATTTTGGAGGAAAAAAAATTATAATTTTTTTAAAACGTTTAAATTAAAAATAAAAATACAAATAAATAAAATTTATTTATTTACACTTTAAATGTAATTTGTTAATTTATATTTTACTTAATATACAATTTATTAATTTATATTTACTTGTTATATATAAAGGATTTCTCTTTTTGTAAATTTTGTACGAGAGAAAGAAACAAAATATTTTTATAATTTATAAAAGAAAAAATATATTTTATATATAAAAATAATAAAAAGAAGAAAGCGAAACAAAATTATAATATAATATATGACAGAAAAAGAGATAAGAATAAAGAATGAAGGCAATAATAAAATAAAATTTTAAAATAAATTAATAATATAAAAAAGATGAATATAGTATTTATATTTTTACTGGTTAAATAATAATACTAATAATAATTAAATTTATTTATAGTTTGTGTTAAACAAATTGTTAGTTTTAAATTCTTTATATTTTAACATTTCTTTTAATTTTTATCATCAACTACAGTTAATTTAAAATTAAAAACAAAAATATTAATTAATATAATTTAGGTAACAAAAAATTTCAAATTAAGAGAATTAGTATTTTATTTACATAACTTAATTAAGTATATTTTTTTAATATAAATAATATAATTTTAAATGTTTTTCTTTTACTTTTTTTTATTGAAAATTATTATATTATAAATAAATTATTATCTCTAAGATAAAAATAATATAATATTTTAATTTTTAGAATCAATAATTATATTTTATTAAAATTTATATGTATATAAAAAATAATTATTGCTCTTTTTTTTTCTTTATACAATTTAAAGTTTAATATAAAACAATTGGCTTATATCCTTTTTTTGTTTTAATTTATAGTTTTTTTTATATTTTATATTTTTGTCAGTGTTTTTTTTTTAATTCAAATGGTTTAAAAGACATATAAGAAACCAACAAAAAAATAAAGAAACAAGGCATTGACACGTGGACGTATGTGGGGTTCACAAACACACCACCAAAAAAGGCGGGAGAACAAACTTGATTGGTAGTTTACTTTGTTTTTTTGTTGGGTCTCATGTCGTGCTTGGTTGTTGTTGTTGTTCATATTCACAGCACAAGTTCCTTCCTTGCATTTGTATCATGAATTTTTCCGCAACTGTACTCAGTGATGCTTCTATCTTTTGCTTCATAGTCAGGTTTTTCTCTTTCCACAACTCTTCAATCTCAATAATTTGGTCTATACTCCATATATTATATCATATCTTTGTTGCATTGTGAAATCTACCGAATTGGTTGTTATCATTCCTAACAAAAAATTGTAAATTGTATGGTTACCTTAACTTGGGAGTTTTGTTGAAACGTGTATCAAATGAATAGATCTGTTCTGTGATATGTGAATATATCTGAGCAGACCCTTTGAAATCTGAAACCGCTATCTTGTATAGACCTTAATGGTGGATTAATTTCTGAATGTATAAATTAATAAAAAGTTTTAAAGACTGCACTCGTCAAAGATTTTTATTCTTAAAAGATTTCTTTGGGTTTGTGACATGGGAAACTTTCTTCCTGGTTTAAGGTAATGAAACAATGCTCATTGAGTCACTGTGATATAGTATTTGCCTAGACTGAGAATGTCTCATGGTTTTTGTTTCTAGATTTTCAACTTAATAATTGAAGGGTTGTGTGCAAGATACCAGTAAATGTTTAATAATTAACCACTCCATGTCTAGATTCTCAATGTATAAACACAAATGTTGGCTGATGCAATTCAATAACATTCTTGGAATTTGAATTTGAGTAGAGGTGTTATATATTCTATTTTGACCAGAGATCAACAGACATTAGCATAAAAACACAAATTCTATACAATACTTTAACTTTTGAATGTACAAACTTCATCTATAAAATCATACATTCTCTCTATTATGGGGTTAGTTGTCCTTACATGCATGTTATGCACTTTGTTTATCCTCCATGTATAACAGACCAAGACTAGCCCTGATTGAAGAATGCCAGCTTTTTAACGACAACCATCTTAGGTTTACAGAGTTGTAAAATTATTACATTCAGATAAGAAATTTCATCCACCAGGTTTTGTGTGCATAGCCCAACATCCTTTTGCTCATAGTGCATTTGAATGGCTAGTTTTCTTTTAAATAAAAATTATGTGACAGTTTTTTTTTTTTTTTTTTTTTTTTTTTTTTCGGTGTGGTCCTTCTTCTGTGGGGTGATTTTGTCCTTTTGTATTTCAATTTACTGGACTGGATTTGTTCAAAGTGATTATTTGAACGTGCATTCCTTATCCCGATTCAACTATTGAGAGTTCCATTTATTTGATTGCAGGAGTCACTACAGTTGTGTTGTCAGGTGTACAGAGTTTATCTGCTGATTTTGAAGCAGATTTCAATAATGATTCTTGCTGCTCTTCTGACTTCAGTTGGAATTAACCTTGGGCTATGTTTTCTATTTTTCACTCTTTACTCTATATTGAGGAAGCAATCTTGTAATCTTATCGTCTATGCACCACGCTTAGTTTCTGAAAGGAAACGTCAAGAGGGTGGTCAATCTAACTTGGAACGTTTGTTAGCTACTGATTGGCTGAGACAAGCATGGGAGACCTCCGAAGAAGAATTTTTATCAACTGCAGGCTTAGATGCTTTTGTCTTCATGCGCATATTTGTCTTCAGGTGATTTAAATTATTCAATGGATTCTAGGTTTGAAGAACTATCATGTCATTTCTTCTTAAACTTAAATCTATTATATTGGCTAACCAAGCCTCTTATACTGATTTTGATGGACATTCCTTCATCCTGTGTGTAACTTATCTATGTTTATGCAACTTCATACATATAAAGGTAAATATGTATATGTGGTTTCTGCATCAGAACTGAACTCCTTTTGTCTTTGTAAATTTGATTCAAATGTATATTCATTAGTTGACATGGACCATATTTTATCAATAACCACCGAGTCTCTGACTACTTTTAATATTAACAATTCTTCAAAATATATATTGTTTTTTCAATTTTATATCACCATGTTGTTTGTTGTCTGAAGGGATCACTTTTTTTGTTTACTGATCTTTTTCTTCTTTGTATATTGTGCAGCTTAAAAATATTTACTTTTAGTGGAATTGTGGGGCTACTTATTCTCCTTCCAATTAATTGTATGGGGAGTCAACTTCGTGATGATTCTGATTTTCAAAACAAGTCTTTGGATTCCTTCAGTATTTCTAATGTTACCAATGGTTCAAACAGGTGAATATTATTGATCAAGTAGTGTTAACTCTTTAGGTATTATTATTCATTATAAAGATCAACACGGATAAGAAATATTAATTTAATATTTCTGTTTCAACATCAAATTTAAGAAGGCTCATTTCTTTGATTGATGAATCTCATATATGTGAAGTTTTTTCTATATGAATTATTAGGATATGCTTTGTGATGAGTAGAATTGAAAAACCAACAGATAGTATTTTTTTTTTATTATTATGCTTTGGTGAATTAGATCAAAGTATACTCTTCCTTTACTTGTTTTTCACTTGCATGGTGGGATTGGAGTGCTTAAAAGGTATAAAACCAGTTATGGATGCTTTACCTAAAATGATCATTTACTGACTGTGTTGTGAAGTCCATCTTATGGATAATGTTCTTTTAACTTGCTTCTGGTTGTATACAATGCTTCCATATATGTTTTGACACTTAGAGTAATCCTTCTCACTAGGCATACATTATAATCTTACTTATAGTTACCTAGTCATGAATTTAAAGATATAAACATTTTAACTATTACATATAGACTCGTCATGTGTATCTTGTACAGTCTGCTAACTTATATGGCAGACTGTCCAATAGGCTGAAGTCTGGTTCAGTAAAGAAACTTACTTCATATTTAGAGTTCCAGCACCATGAAAAACCATTACAAAATATTTAAAATAATTTACTGCCTTTTTCTCTGCTTTTCTCTTCAACTTTGGGCCTTGATAGTTTATTTTTAAAATTTGTTTTAGCTAAAGTGTTTGAAAGAAATCTTTTAAAAAGAAATTAGGAATGGTCCATTCATCTTATCACTAAACGCTGGAAGGTTAAAACTTCTAGGTATGTCAATGCCATGCTTATTAAACAGACATTTTAAAGTTTTTGTGGTACCTATGGATACATTGATTCTAGAGCATTAGGTTTATGTAATCTCATGTCAAGTTGTGCTGATTTTATCATGTAGCATTATGATATATAACTAGATGGTTCACCTCTCCATTTTGTGGAAAACCATATTTTATTGAATGGCATCAGGTTGCTGGTTGCATTTAACAGTTAGCCTCTCATTCATTTTTTCATTTCTTCATTGAAGGTATACCATTGTGGTTTCAAATCTTCATCTGATCACTCTTCCTTGTATGATAATGGAAGAGGAAGTTATGATAGCATGGCTGATTTACCACTGTCATGCATTTACATTGGGTAGTCCTGGTTTTTAGTTACTTATTTTCTTCCCCAAATTAAACAAGTCCATCCTAGCACTTCTGACAAGTTTATTTGTTTGTTGTTGTAATTACACCATTTGTGAGAATGAAAGTTTCCTCATGGGTGTTAATGATTTTTATCTAAGTTATAACATGGTAACTCTGATCGCTAGATTTGGCCTTTCTCAAGGTTATGGATCCACTTTTGTGCCGCATATGTTTTCACTGGATTTGTCTGCATTCTTCTTTATTGTGTAAGTTATTTTTGTTCAATTTTGCTTTGTACATGAACAAAATTTTGCCAGTTCTGCTAAATTATGAAAGTATTGATTGAATTGAATGCTTGATGTTATTGCCATATGCAGGAGTGTAAGTATATTTCATCAAAAAGAATTGCTTGTTTCTATTCATCCAAGCCTGAGCCTCATCACTTCAGTATATTAGTAAGAGGTATTCCTGTTCCAGTTGGAAGCACTTGTACCGATGCTGTTAAGAACTTCTTCCAGGAGTATCACCCTTCTACTTATCATTCACATGCGGTTGTTCGTCGAAGCAGTAAAGTTCAAATACTAATTGTAAGCAGTTTCATGAAGTTTTATTTGGTTTAATATTTTCTCTTGACATTTGCTTAGTTTCTCATTTTTTATTCTGTTATAGGGCCTCAAATTCTTATTCCTTAAAGGGGAAAAAAAAATTAACACCCAATTTTTTCTAATAGTCAACTCATTATCAGAAAAAAAATAAAAAAAATAAAAAAACACTATGGTGGGAAATCAGGAACATTCCTAAAATTAAAAGAAAACACTAGAACAGAAAAAAAAGATCAAAGAACAACAGCTAGTAAGATCAAACCATTTTATTTACATATTGGGAAATTAAACTACCTACCTGTGAACACAAATGAGTTGAAACCCACATACAGGCCCATAATTCTCTCTTCATGGAGGCAGAGGGGTGATGGTGGGTTTGGATTTGAATATGTTTTTACTGTGAAGCTTTGAACTTCTTAGAAATGTTTAGTTGTATCTAACTTTAATAATGTCTATTTCTAACAGACTGATGCAGAGAGACTGTACAAAAGGCTTACTCAACTGAAAAGTAAAGATGATGCTCCTCAACGGCATAGGCGTGATGGATGTTTGGGACTTTTCGGACATAAAGTTGATATGTTAGATCACTATGAAAAGACATTGGGAAATATTGCAGATAACGTGAGAATAGAACAGTCTTCAGTGGCAGGAAAGGTAATTTAACTATCATGTCAATTAACAACATTCAGGGCTTGGGTAATAATTAGTTGTGTTTCCAATAGATTGTTTAATATCTGGTGTGGTTAAATTGAGGACTTTATATATATATATATATATATATATATATATATATATATATATATATATATATATAATTTTATTAAAATTATTATTAATTATATGAACAAAAAAATTATTTTTTAAATTTTATATATTTAAATTTGTTGATGGTTATTCTATGATAAATTTGTATGATTAAAAATATACAAATATACGAGGTAGAAAATAAATTACTTTCACTCGGTCTTAAATCCCTAGAATATATAGGAATAAAGCAAATAATTGGATGATAATTTTCATTAAATAATCAATTTAAATAAAATCATCAGCAAGTTAAAATATTACCCACATTGTGCTATTCATAATTGATTCTGTTCATTCTTTCATATCTGTTTACTATCAGCACAGTATTTGAACAGCTCCATTTCACAAAGAAGATTATATTAAATGATATTGGAGAAATAAAATATGAATGAGGAAAAAAAAGTGAAACAGCAGATGGAGGTCTAAGCCTACTTTTTCTATGCATCAATGTTACACATTTTGCTAGGCCATCCCGACATTAGATGGATGGATTACAGTATAATATCAATGAATAGAGGCTTGGTTTATTGTATGCTTACACTAGGGGAGTTATGCTTCTACCTTAAGACTTAGTCTTTCTTAAATAGTAAAATGTCAAAATAAGGTAATGTGGACCGAATGAATATCAAAGGATTGGGAAAACTTGAATCATACAGGGAGAAGCAGAGTCAACCGTAATCATTTTGGCACAAATTGTCTAGAAGAAATAAAAGAGCAAAAAGAAGTATTAAAGACGTATTTGGTTTGGGCATGGAACTATGAAATTCCAACACCGTCAACCACATGCCGAACTGAATTTTTCTTTGTTTTATTGGAAATAAGACTCAAAGTAGCCATTTATTACTCAATGCCAAGATAAATCAGTCATGTGACTCAAGTAATAAAGTTTGGTTTTGATTTTGATTAATCTTTGTTTTCCCCTTAACTTATCCGTTGAATAGTAGATTTCAATTGTGAAAAACTTTTGTATATGAATATTCTATCCTATGTAGTTTTTCATGGTTAAATTGAATATCTAATACATGCACTTGTTCAACAACTACATTCACTTTAAAAGGAAGTTCCAGCTGCCTTTGTCTCATTTAAGTCAAGATTTGGTGCTGCGATAGCTTTAAATATTCAAGAAGGTGTCAACCCCACACACTGGATTACTGAGCAAGCTCCAGAGCCTCAAGATGTTTATTGGCCTTTCTTTTCTGTCACATTCATTAGAAGATGGATCAGCAAGCTGGTGGCTTATGTTGCCTGCAATGTTCTTACCATTCTATTTCTGATCCCAGTTGCTCTAGTACAAGGTCTTACCCATCTTGATCAATTGGAAACCATGTTCCCTTCTCTGAGATGCATACTGAGAATGTAAGTAGGAAAACCCATTGATTTTTTTTTTTCCTTTCCTTTCCCTACTTAATGCATATTAGAGAATCAGATCAGCATATAAACATCTGTACATTTGCATTACATTAGAAATAATAATTATTCTAGTTATCATATTGGCGAAATTACCACACAAAAAAATATTATCTTTCTACATTTACCCAGAAAATTCATATTACCATCCAAAATTCTCCCTTGAAAGTAGAATGTTTATATTTCTTTCAATACTTTCATCCTACATTAAATCTGTGCTAGGAACAGCTGATGTACATATAAATATCGTGCATTGTAGGTTAGTAGGGCTGTTAAGGCAGACTCCGGTGCTTCTGCTTTGAAGAAATTAGAACAACATATGAGCACAACACCCTAGACCTATTCTCAAACTTTAAATATATAACACAATCGAAACCCACAGATTTTCGAGGGTAAGGCAAAAAAATGACCTCCTAAATGAGCTGACACAGCCCATTTAACCTGACCCACCTTCAATCCACCTCCTAAATGGACCAATCCACTTCAATCCGGTCATCAACTTTATGCGCATAGCTTCATGTAAGGTAAAATGGAAGTTGAAACAATCACCTTTGTTGTATAGGACTTCCTCATTTAGACGACTACAATTTCCCAAACAACCAATAACCAAAAGAAAAGCAAAAAAAATTGAGCAATTCAAACCAACACATACACACCAAAATACTCTTGGAGTTAAATTATCAAAATTGCTTTTACAATTTATAACTAAAAAGGCTCTAAGACAATGCACCATTCATTGGAGTGGTTGGCAACAATCGCTGTTTCACTAATAATTAACAACTTATTTAGCACCATTTGGTTGCTCTAGTGGCGGCTTAATGATAGCCTAGTTGCCCACCATCCTTCGTTGCTAGAGTCGCTGCTTTGATCTCATTGCAGTGATTAATGAATTTGCTCACCTCCTGGTTTAACACAAATGAAACCCAAGTTAGTAAAGAAATCCAATTTACTAACAATATCACAAAAGATAAACACGCCAAATGTCCATAAAACTATCCCAGGAAACAGTATGGAACGTCCATCCACACAAACTATCAAAGGAAAACGTATATCATTATATAGATGTACATACTTTAAGACTTGGTTTTCATGATCATTGAGAAACATAGAAAAGTCATAAAAAGCAATTATGGGAAACCTAATTTGCTGCTAAGCATCCATCCCCATTCCCCAGTACAAAACATACTATTCAAAACCATGAAGTCCTAAAAACATTAAAGTCGAAAAGGAATAAAGTAAGAGGCTTACACGATCGGCATCCATTTCTTTTGTGACCTTGGATGGCTTCACGAATCTCTTTCCTGCGAAGAAAAACAGTAAGAGATTATTGCAAAAGATCTTACATTAGAAGGAAAAAAAAAAGTAGGAAACGGTGAAACCTTTGCGAGTAACAGGGGCTTTCCCATGACGATTCGGAGGAATTGATTTTTTCTTGGCTTTACCCTTGAACAGATTCGCCTTCTGCGTCATCTCTCTCGGCGTATGATTTCTAAGGTTAGGGTTTTACGTGCAATTAGTTTCGGAATTTTTTCAATAGGTTGAATAATACGTATATGTTTGGGCTGTCAAACTCCGACCCGTTTTTTAACTCGGCCCATTTAAACCCACCTCCTAATGGGCTAGCCCGACGGTAAGCGGGCGAAACAACCTAAATTGAAGCATCAACAAACAGAAGCATAGCCAAAAATTACCATAACATAGACAAACTGTTCACTAACAATTATATCAGAGATTCCAAAAAAAATTATCCGCTAATGCTAATCTCTAACAGAGATTCGAAAAATCATCAAAGTGATTCCAAAATTAATATTATTTTTAATTTTTTCAAAATATAATTATTATTTTATAAACATGTAGATTAAATTTATACAGTTGATTCTACCGGCAAATCAAACGAAACTCAATTTTACAACTCTAATCAAAATCTAGTTTGACAGCTGGTAAGTTACAAGAATGGTTCATTGTTTGATCAGAAACATTAGTTGTGTGGAACAGCAACTGAAGTAGAGTTTCCTATGTCTGCTTACTTGCAGGGCAGTTGTCAGCCAAGTTATAACAGGATACCTTCCCATTCTGATTCTTCAGATGTTTCTGTACTTTGTGCCACCTATTATGATTATGCTTTCATCCTTGCAAGGATACATATCATGGAGTCAAATACAAAAAAGTGCATGCAATAAAGTATTATGGTTTACTATATGGAACATTTTCTTTGCAAATGTATTATCAGGGTCAGTTTTATATCGATTGACGGTCTTTCTTGAGCCCAAAGAGTTTCCCAGAGTACTAGCTGAAGCTGTACCAGCACAGGTGAGAATAATTGCTTGTTTCATAAGTTAAACAAATTTCTCCAATATTTTCTAATGGTTTCACCATGTTGAGGGAATACTTTTCCTTGAAATGAAAAAGTATAACTATTTGTTGCTGGTGTGACCAAAATGATTCAAGTTGTGATCTTTCAAGGTTTACCAGTCATTCTCTTCTCTTTGTGGTGATGCTTTTCCATGTGTACTAGATGTATTTTCCTGTTGCTTTGGTTAGTTTCATGAAAAGTTTCTACATTTTTATAAAGAAGTTATTTAGGCAGCATGAAACCAGAAGAAAATAATGATAAATAGAGTAATGGATAATTTTTGTCCCTTTGATTCTCCCAGTTATTCTATTAATGTGTTGCTTCGATGAGTCTTAATTCTTTTATGTTGAAAGTTTGGTCAACTATCTCACGATTTCTTTATTTACTACTATTTTCCATTACCTGCATTCCCTTGCAGGATACATCTGTTATGTTGTGCATAAGATAATTCATATTCTATACTTCATATTTGGTGCAGGCATCATTCTTCATAGCATATGTTGTGACTTTCGGATGGACTAACATAGCATCAGAACACTTTCAATTGATTCCACTTCTTTACAACTATATTAATATAATTTTTGTTGGAGATAGTGATAATGATGATTTTGAGGCACCATCAATTCCTTACCACAGGGAAATTCCCAGAACTCTTTTCTTTGGTCTTCTTGGTGTTACATACTTCGTCCTTTCTCCTCTAATACTTCCATTTCTCTTGGTCTACTTTTGTTTGGGATACATCATTTATCGCAACCAGGTTTGTTTTGTTTTCCCCTTTCCATATATACACTTAAATCTTCCTTATTGTATAATATAATGTGTATTTAATATAGTATGGCAAGCATATTATTTGTTTATTAAAATTGATCACTTTGCAAGCTTAGGACGATTTGAGATGCAAATATGAGTGTTATCAAATTATCACAATAAAAATTTGTCACACATATGGTCTTATTCTGTGGCAACTAAAACTTATTGTTGTTTCTCTTTCTTATTTTTATTTTTGGTTTCAAGAGGAGGATGGGAAAAGTTTGAACACGTTGTTTTTGAACTTGTTATTGTTTGAGGTTTTCTGGATTGTCTTTGGTCTTTTTCACACTTGGTAACCGTACAATATTCTATTTTACTTTCATCAGTGTGAACACAATACTGCAACAGATCAATGAAATGAAAAGCTCATTATTTTTTGTCATATATACAATGCAAAATACAGATAAGATGATATTGTACAATAACACTTTCTCTTAAATATTTAAGTTCATTAAATTCTTTCAAATGAGAGACACTTCCAGGAGAAAATGATTTTATGGGTGCTATGTGTGCTATCAAGCAAGCATTTCATCCACTACTTTCCCTACCACAATCCCCTAACAACTGCACAGAGGTTGAAAACAATAGTGATAATGTTTTCTTCTAATGCTTTAGTTGCGTCAATTAATTTCTTTTGTGTTGGTTCTTGTGAGAGCAAAGTCCCACATCGGTGGGTACTTCACAGGGGGCATGGGTGAGTGGTTATATAAGAAACCACATGCCCCTCATTCTAATCATCCCAAAATTTCTTTCCTTCTCTAAGTATTAGAAAGTGTTGTCATTCTTAGGACTAGAGAAGGAGTATGTAATTTTTCTTTCTATTATAAAATTTCCACTTTTGTCTATTATTGCTATTCAATTTTTCTCTTCTCTATTTTAGTTGAGTTCTTGTGCAAGTAGTCTGATACCTAACAGTGGTATCAGAGCCACGTTCTTATTTCGTTGCGCTAGTCACTAGAATAGTGTTGGTAAAATTCTGAGTATGCTCTGTGGTTGCGGTTTAATCTGATCTTCCACATTAGAAAAGAGTTGTTACTAGAAAAGGTGTAGTAGTAGTAGTGTGAAACTGTTGTTTGGGGAAGTTCTGGCTAGGAAAGACTTGGTACTTAAGTGTGTCCATTAGTGACTCACCTCTCTTTCTTGGGAACTTACCTAGTGTACTGGTTCACGGTCTACTACTATTGTTCCAGTAGACAATACTATTCATAAGTGAGAGTTGCATAAGTGGAAACACAATCATGACAGCAAAGTATTAGATAGAGAAGTTTAACGGGAACAATTTCTCGTTATGGAAATTGAAGATGAAGGCAATTTTGAGAAAGGACAATTGCCTTGATGCAATTGAAGGAAGACCTGCAGAAATGACGGATCAGAAGTGGAAGGAAATTGACGGAAATGCTATCGCAAATTTGCATTTAGCAATGGCAGATTTCGTACTATCCAGTGTTGCGGAAAAGAATACAGCAAAGGAGATTTGGGATGCCCTCATCAAATTATATGAGGTGAAGTCTCTTCACACAAGGATATTCTTGAAGCGAAAACTCTACACTCTTCGGATGAGTGAGTCCACATCGATGACGAACCACATCAATCATCTGAACACCTTATTTGCCCAACTATCAGCAGCAGATTTCAACATAGTTGAAAATGAACGTGCGGAACTTCTACTTCAGAGCCTACCAGACTCATACGATCAACTCATCATCAACATAACAAATACTAATATGGAAGGAAATCTACGCTTTGAGGATGTTGTCGGAGCTACTCTAGAAGAAGAATCCAGACGCAAGAATAAAGTAGATAGATTAGAAAATTCCAAGAAAGGAGGCTTTGACGATGATGAGAGGAAGATCAACAGAGCGTGGCTCTAGTGGGAGTCAAAATCATGATAGATCAAAATCTCGAGGAAAAAAGAATTTCAAATGCTACTATTGTGGCATGAGAGGACACTTGAAGAAAGATTGTTGGAAGAAGAAAAATGCAGAGAAGTCTTCTGAGGCAACTACATCTCAAGGATGTGTTGCCAGTACCTCTGATGATGGAGAAATAGTATCTCAAGGCAGCTATTGGTTCCAAAGGTGAAAAACAGCTCACTGATGTTTGGATAATAGATTCGGGAGCAACATGGCACATGACTTCATGAAGAGATTGGTTTTGCACTTATAAACCTATCTCAGAGGGATCTGTGTTCATGGGTAATGATCACGCCTTGGAAATTGCTGGAATCGGTACTATCAAATTAAAGATGTACAATGGTACTATTCGTACATTTCAAGGGGTACGACATGTGAAGGGCTTCAGAAAGAATTTATTGTCTATTGGACAATTGGATGACCTCAGTTGCAAGACCCATATTGAAGGTGGGATCTTGAAAGTAGTAAAAGGTGCTCTAGTAGTGATGAAAGCAGAGAAATTTGCTGCAAACCTATACATACTTCTGGGAGATACGTTTCAAGAGGCAGATGTATCAGTTGCATCAGCTAGTCAAGAGGAATCAACGACAATGTGGCATCGCAGACTAGGCCATATGTCAGAACGAGGCTTGATGGTCCTTGCGGAACGTAAACTCTTACCAGGGCTCACATCAGTAAGCTTACCTTTCTGTGAGCACTGTGTGACAAGCAAACAACATAGATTGAAATTTGAAAAGTCAACTACTAGAAGCAAACACATACTTGACTTGATACATTCTGATGTGTGGGAGTCACCGGAAATGTCCCTAGGAGGAGCTAAATATTTTGTATCATTTATTGATGATTACTCTAGGAGATTGTGGGTGTACCCAATCAAGAAAAAGTCAGATGTGTTTCCAGTTTTCAAGGAATTCAAAGCACAAGTGGAGCTTGAAACTGGGAAGAAGATCAAGTGCTTAAGGACAAACAATGGAGGAGAATATACAGATGGTGAGTTTCTGGCATTCTGCAAGCAGAAGGCAGTTCACGGTTGCTCATACACCTCAGCAAAATGGTGTAGTAGAGCGGATGAATAGAACTCTCCTAGAGAGGACTAGAGCTATTTTGCGAACAGCAAGATTAGCCAAGTCTTTTTAGGCAGAAGCAGTGAAGACAGCTTGTTACGTGATAAATCGATCCCCATCAACTGTGATTAGTTTAAAGACACCTATGGAGATGTGGAAAGGAAAGCCAACAGAGTACTCTTCTCTACATGTGTTTGGATGTCCTGTGTACGTAATGTACAACTCCCAAGAAAGAACAAAGTTGGATCCAAAATCCAGAAAATGCATATTCTTGGGTTATGCTGACGGAGTTAAGGGGTATCGCCTGTGGGATCCCACTGCCCGCAAGGTTATTGTCAGCAGAGACGTAATTTTTGCAGAGAATGAACTGCAAAATGAACAGGTAAATGACAGCACTTCTAAAGATGTAACTACTGTACAAATAGATGGAAAGTCTGGAGAAGAAGATTCTTTAGAAGCAGAACCAGAGCATGAGGAGCAAGAACCAGAAGAGGTCAATGATACAGAAGTTCGACGAATAACACGTCAGATAAGGAGACCATCTTGGCACTCGGACTATGTAATGGCAAGTCATGATGCATATTGTCTTCTAACGGAAGAGGGAGAACCGTCAACCTTTCGGGAGGTCGTGAGTAGTTCGAGATGCTTCTCTGTGGATGACAGCAATGCAAGAAGAAATAGAAGCCTTACACAAAAACAAGACATGGGAGCTTGTTGCACTTCCACAAGGTCGAAAAGCCATCGGCAACAAATGGGTTTATAAGATCAAACGTGATGGTAATGATCAAGTGGAACGATATCGTGCAAGACTGGTAGTAAAAGGGTATGCTCAAAAGGAAGACATTGATTTCAATGAGATATTCTCTCCAGTGGTTAGACTTACCACTATCAGAGTAGTGTTGGCTATGTGTGCTGCATTTGACTTACATCTTGAACAATTGGATGTAAAGACTGCTTTTCTTCATGGAGAACTTGAAGAAGAAATTTATATGCTCCAACCAGAAGGCTTTGAAGAGCAAGGAAAAGAAAACTTGGTTTGTAGGTTGACCAAATCTTTGTACGGTTTAAAGCAGGCGCCAAGGTGTTGGTACAAGAGATTTGATTCCTTCATTATTAGTCTCAGATACAACAGACTGAGTTCAGACCATTGTACGTATTACAAGAGGTTTGATGATAATGATTTCATCATTTTGTTGTTGTATGTGGATGACATGTTGGTGGTAGACCCCAACAAAGATCGAGTCCAAGAGTTGAAGGCACAGTTGGCTAGGGAATTTGATATGAAGGACTTGGGACTCGCAAACAAGATTTTAGGGATGCAAATTCACCGAGACAAAAAGGATAGGAAAATTTGGCTCTCTCAAAAGAATTATCTTAAGAAAGTCTTGCGGCGCTTCAACATGCAAGATTGTAAGCCAATCTCTACCCCATTGCCTATCAATTACAAATTATCCTCAGATATGTGTCCTCGCAATGAAGCAGAAAGGATGGAAATGTCTCGAGTGCCGTATGCATCGACGGTGGGAAGTCTTATGTATGCTATGATTTGTACGAGACCAGATATTGCACAAGCAGTTGGGACGGTTAGTCGATTTATGGCAAATCCTGGTAGAGAGCACTGAAATGCTGTGAAAAGGATCCTAAGATACATTAAAGGAACCTCAAATGCTGCATTATGTTTTGAAGGATCAGAGTTTATTGTCAGAGGATATGGTGATTCAGATTTTGTAGGTGATCTTGATAAAAGAAAATCTACTATAGGATATGTGTTTACACTTGCAAGTGGAGTGGGAAGTTGGCTATCTAAACTGCAGACTGTTGTAGCCTTATCTACTACAGAGGCGGAGTACATAGCAGCTACCCAAGCATGCAAGGAAGCAATTTGGATTCAAAGGTTATTGGGAGAACTTGGACACAAGCAACAAAAGATCAATGTGTATTGTGACGATCGAGTGCCTTGCACATTGCAAGGAATCCAGCTTTTCATTCCAGAACAAAACACATAGGAGTACAATATCATTTTGTCAGAGAAGTAGTAGAGGAAGGGAGTGTGGATATGCAGAAGATTCATACCAAAGATAACCTAGCAGATGCCTTGACAAAACCAGTAAATGCTGACAAGTTTATACAAAGTCGATCATGTTATGGCCTATTGAAAGCATAAGCAGCATAGATGAAAAAAAAATAATCATGGTGTGAATATTTGATTAATTTCATCAAAATCTTCAAGTGGGAGATTGTGAGAGCAAAGTCCCACATCGGTGGGTACTTCAAAGGGGGCATGGGTGAGTGGTTATATAAGAAACCACATGCCCCCCATTCTAATCATCCCAAAATTTCTTTCCTTCTCTAAGTATTAGAAAGTGTTGTCATTCTTAGGACTAGAGAAGGGGTATGTAATTTTTCTTTCTATTATAAAATTTCCACTTTTGTCTATTATTGCTATTCAATTTTTCTCTTCTCTATTTTAGTTGAGTTCTTGTGCAAGTAGTCTGATACCTAACAGTTCTCTCTCATGTGATGTGATTCCTAAGGCAAAATAGGGACAATACATGGCTATATAAAGATGAAACATGGTAGAAGGCTTCATTGTGTCTTTGAAAAACTGTTGTTAATCAATTGTTTCCCATGTGATTACAAAATTTCTTATGATATCTTAAATATGTTTCTGTGACAGCTCTTAAATGTCTATGTGGCAAAGTACGAGACTGGAGGAGAGTTTTGGCCTACAGTACACAACTGCACAATTTTTTCATTGATTTTGATGCATATTATAGTAATTGGGATATTTGGGCTGAAGAAGCTTCCAGTAGCATCTGCCTTGACTCTACCTCTTCCTATTCTCACACTTCTATTCAATGAGTATTGTCGGAAACGTTTCTTTCCTATTTTCAAGGCTTATCCTGCCGAAGTATGGTGGTTCACAATTCATTCTAATTTATTTGACTTTTTTTGGTCGATTGTTATGTACGTTGTTCATTTTCCCTGTTTAGTTGTGAAGTTCTGATTGTTACTAGTTCACTTTTTGCATGCCCTGATAAGCATTGAACTTTTCATTTTATACATTTTCTTGGCTCTGGTTGAAACTCTCAGCAAACCTGGCTATTGTTTAGTTATTAACTTGCATCTTCTTTCCAAGCTAGATATCAGGAAATTATAGACCCCAAAATCACTTGCATCTAACAGTTACAGATTGTAGTGCAGGGGTCTTAAGTTGGTTAATGATGTAGAGGAAAAATTGAAAAATAGCATGCTCAATAGTCATGAAATTATAAAGACATCTGGCTGTTGATTAGCCTGATGTGATTGTAAAATTTTGAGCAAGAAATATACTGTAAACATGGACACTTGTGGTTGTAAAGGATGTATTCATCCCACATCTGGGGAATGGTTTGATTTAGATTATCAAAGTCACCTTATAACTTCCCCCATTGTAGTTCTTATGATGTTCATTTTGTTTCTGGGTTGGGTTCACCAAAGTTGTCTAACAATTTATGAGGAACTGTTTTCAATGTAGAGAAACACATGATGCTAAATGATTATAGCATAGCATTTCATTCTGCTTTGAAGCAACTTATAGTTGATTATTCCTTTTTCAATTGAGTTGTGTTTCCTTTTTCTTTTTCCCTTTTTGCAACATGCAGTGTTTGATCAAGAAGGACAGAGAAGACCAAAATGAGTCTTACATGTCTGAATTTTATGATAAGTTGGCCAGTGCATACAATGATCCAGCTTTGATGCCAATCAAATATTCAGGAGGAAGTGGTAATAGCCCCAGGCTTCCTCTACTCAATAACTCAGAAGTTTGAGTTCATAATTAGCTTCCTACGGCTTCACTTGTAACTAACAATTTAGAGTTTCACATGTGGTTTCTGATGCTGACACACGACAATGTACCTTCAACTTCTAACTTTCTTTCAGTTTATGTTTGATTATTGATTATCCTCTCTATGTTGTATATCCTCTTGATTTACGTGAATATTGTTGGCACTCATTCTGAATAAACTTTTTTATATGTAATAAAGAAAAAAAAATCATATAAGTTCTCCATAAATTAAAATTAACTTTTGTATAAGTTTTTTTTTAACATTAGCTATAATAAATACTTCTAGATATTATATTAATTGAGAATAGAAATATGTAACAACATAAATATAATAAATACTACTTCTAGATATAAATTATCCTTCTTCTTTTAATTTCAGACTTTTACGTTAATTATTTTAGTGTTATGGATAATTTCTTTAATCTTATTTTGACAAATTCGCTTTAAAATACGAGATAAATATATCACTACAAATAAACGATTTTTATTTTTATAAAAACATAAAAATGGCAACGTTGGTTCAAGAAACCCTCCAAATGTGCCACGAAAGCATTTTTCACTTTCACTCATTTTAATGTGTTTGTTTTTCTTATTGTCAACTTTCATATTTGTTGCCAGTTGTAATTATTAAGACCATTTTTATTTTTGCTGAGCCAAGACAAGTAAAATTATTCCAAATGGACCAAACTTTGTCCTAAAAATGATTAAGACACAAAATTGTAATGTTTAATCAAGTTGTGTGAAGTAAGACAAGTCTTTAGGACTCACCTTCCTCAATTTTTGTTGGTGAAAATAAATGTACTTGTGATTCAATTACCCCAAATCTATGTTCTTAAAATTTATGTTTGATATCGTATGATAGGTTTGATGTTAGCTTTTCTTATTTAGTTATTTCACACATGTAATAAAATTAAAAGTCTATGTAAATTATTGTATAAAAATTAATATTTTTTTAATTTGATACTGTATATGCACCTGTGCATTTTAGTTTAATATTTATGTTATCTTTATGTAATTTACTATTCAAATGACACGATGATTTTGTTTTGTATGGGATGGTCTGTAATAGCTTGTAACCATTTGCAAATTGGTCCTTAAACGTCTCCTTCTCTGCTATATAATAAGAAGTTTGCACCATAAAAACATCAGAAGATAACACAATTATTGATCAACCAAAGTTTGATGAGTCATTGTAAAATCATTTGAATAAATTTGTGGTCTCTGGTGGGGGCATTGTAGCAACCGTGTTCTCTGACCTTTCTTGCCTAAGACAAGATCAAAAAGGACTTTTATTTTATTTTATTTTTTGTTTAAAGAATTAACTAATTGAGAATGATATCCTCATTGTTTTGGCTTGAAAGAGACTTCTACTATACTGGATTCCTTACACACTGCTCAATTTCATTTATCCCAAATATTAATAACAACATTAGTGAATAATTAATATCTTTAATTAATTAAACACAGGATCATATACTAAACCATATTTATTATGTTTTAAGTGATGTTATGGGTGAAAAATGTGAACTTAAACTATCTAAAAACGTTTGAGTGTATACATATCAGATAAGGTTTGATCTTCAAATCCTTAAAAAAATCTCAGTATTTTGAGGTATTTATCCTAATTCTAAGTACAAAAACATATTCTAAATTTACAGCTTTATTAGTTTAAATACATTTTTGTTTTGTTTTGGTATGTCGCTAAGCCTCATAGAACTGACAATTATACCTAGTCAATAAGACAAATGTTACCATTGCAACAAGGGTCACCTCCAATCATGCATGACATTGTGAAAGTGAAAAAAGACACCAACACGTTCAAATAACAATGCTCTTTATTGTAGCACTCAAAGGATCCTTAGAAAATCCACAAAACAATGATGAAAATGTATCTCAACTGAATCCAAGCTAAGCTATAATCCAAACGCCAGCTGCAGCTTGCTATGGTTTCTGTATCTTTTCTTAGTCCATAGATTTTGGCTACTCGTGATTATTTTTTGTCTCTTTTTTGACAAATAATGCGTAGCCCTGTGTCATATATCCTTCTTGATGCCTTAGACAAATTTGCAAGAAAGAGCAGATCACGGACAGCATGAAAATCATAATCTTAAAATAAATACTAAATCAAGAATTATTTTAATATGTAGTTTCTATCACATAAAGGATGAATGCAGTACCAATGACCAATTCAAGCTCGCGCTATGGCATAAAACGTATTTTTAACTTAAATATGTCCACAGAAAGTGAAATCTAAGTACCCTTTTTCCAGATCCAACCGGCTGCAGCAATTACAAAGTCCGAGAAGCTGCCAAACGTTCAGTATAAACCTAAATTATAAAGAAACAAACAAATGGAGCCAATATCAGTGTGTGACCTGGTCACCTCTAAAAACTGAACTATTCCACAAGTTTCAGTCACTGCACTACCCCTCCTTATAAAAGCCTAAACAAGCTCAAAAAATCACAACAAATCAGTACCTTTAAAGAACCACTTGTAAGCTTAAGAAAACCAAGGAGGCAAGCAGTGTAACTTCTCAGAGGGAAAATGGCAAGGAAGAGAAAGGTTTCTGAAGAAGTTGAAGAGAGAAATCCATCTGATGTAGCCATGGCGTGGGATGAGGTGATGAAGGAAGCTGCTGCTCTAGGAAGTGGCAGGAGATTGAGGAAGACATTTGTTGGCGTGAGACAAAGGCCTTCAGGAAGATGGGTAGCTGAGATAAAGGATACCATTCAGAAGATAAGAGTGTGGTTAGGAACTTTTGATACAGCTGAGGAAGCTGCAAGAGCCTATGATGAGGCTGCTTGTCTTCTTCGAGGTGCCAACACTAGAACAAATTTCTGGCCTAGTTCTCAATCTTCCTCAACTCCTGCTCTTCCTTCAAAGATTACCAATCTCCTCCTCCAAAGGCTCAAAGAAAGGAATAATCGTACAAACCCTTGCACTCTTTCTTCATCTTCCTCCTCCATATCTCCTTTTATCGACCAGACACAGAACCAACAAGAAGATGTATGTGGAAGTGTGTCAACATATTTCACATTGGACCAATTCTCAGATTTTCTTAATGACCCTGAAGATTACAGCACAAGTAACAATGAGTTTAGTAATTATAGTGCACAAATTGATTGCATCACAAGTTGTCTTGAATCATGTTTGAATGAAAATGATGATTACAGGGAGAAAGAAAAGGAAATGGAAATGGAATTTGACTTCAAAAGTGTGACACAAACATCAAGTGCTTATATAAATTCAGAAGGGGAAAGAGAGGAAGACGATGAAAAAGACACTGATTTGAATACTCAGGATTTTCAGTTCCTGGACAATGTTGTTCCATCCAGTTACCATTATTCACCTTTTGAGATAGCTGAAGAGATTGAGGAGCAGTTGGAGCCTGAGAACTATGGTGATGAGTCTTCAATGCTTAGAGAAGTCATGAATAGAATGAAATATGAGAGGAAGTTTTCAGCTTCCCTTTATGCCTTCAATGGGATACCTGAATGCTTGAAGTTGAAAGAATCAGGAAACAAAAATGGAAGAGAGGTTTGTATTTCTAATCAGCTAACCAACCTCAAGATGGCTTGCAGCAAAAACAAAATTGAGGCTACTAAGAAGAATGAAGAATGCATAGAAGCAATGGATAGGAAAGAGCCACAAACATCAATTGGCATGGTTTACTCTTCCCCCTCTTTTTCATCCAGTATTGATGATGGAGAACTGTTTCTATGGAATTCACTTGATCATCCTAATATTTGTTTGCTATGTTAACTAGCCACCTTCTATTAGTTTCATTTATTTATGTAACTATGATAGATGCTAAGTAACGTGTACGGTAACGTCAGATTGATGAAGTGATGAAAAATGTTTTATAGTAAATACTGTGTAGTTATTTATAAAATTATATTTCCATAGTTCGTATGTTATTTATTCAATTAACCAATAATTATGCATCAAAACAATGTTCTACTAATGTATATAAAAAAATAAAAATAAAAAACATCAGCCAGTCATTCGTAAAAAGAAACTCAGTAGATAATGAAGCTGCCACATTAGTCTTTTTCTTTTCCCAGGAGAAAAGTAGCACACTTCCAAAAGGAGTTGTTCACAATCCACCGTAAGTTTAGTACCTTTAGTTCACAATTTTTCTCATCGAGATCTTGCTTCTCGAAGAAAATTTAATTAAAGATATTTTCCTTTATGACATAATGTCAATTGAAAGTAGAAGCGGAAAGCTGAGCTACTGTTTACAAGCACTAAAGCCTAACTCAATTCTCAAATTTAAGTTGAGGTATAGTTTGTTTAGTTAATATAAGCTATTTGCGTAAATTTTTATTTTTATTTTAGTAGATAGCTGCATTCCCCAAGAAGTGACTTCCAATTAACTCCAACCAATAATAGAAAGTGTCGAAAAAGAGACCCTCCTGAACGACACTATCTCTCTCCCCCACTCAACTCACCCTTCTCTCCACCCGTATTCCATTTCCAATTACAGAACAGAAAAAGGCAGGAAAGAAGCATAGTCTTTATAATGTCGCGATAGATGCACAGTCTTTACCAGCATTCATACACATAAGTAACATGAAGTTAGATTTATAAGAACACAACGGCTAATCTGCAAAGCTTAGAGGCAGCCTAGGCATCTCTTCCCAATAGCTACAGTCATTTACAGCACTTGCTTGAAAACCATACATATCACTGTCAGTTGGGGGCTAGTTATTTTTCCTTTTTTCCTTATAACTTTCCCCGTATAACTTCACTACAATGATGAAATTAAAATGATAGGATACGAACACCTAGTCGAACACCATTGTTAACGAAGCGAATCCCATATTTAGGATTGGCCATTATAATGTTTACCCATAGAAAAACGGGTAGAAACCAGCGGATACGGTCAGACAGAAAAGATACTTATGTACAATGAAAGCTTATTCACATGAAACACAAGGCATATTTAAGTCTCTTGTGATCCCAAGCTCTTTGCTCTAGAGGACACGAAGCTGTGCAAGGAAAGCAGCACACAGATCCAAGAAAAGAAACTGTGGACCCTGTACCCTTTGAAGATCAAGCAGATACTTTTCTTCCCGAGTTTTGTAAAGCTGTGGAAGTGAATGTTCTTAATTAGAGAATATTCTGGAAAAGAAATATAAATACCCAATAACAACAGAAGAATTAATTTATTATGTAGACAATCTCCGTCTCCAAATGGATATAACACTGCCACAAAACAGCAATGGTTTATTTATATAATTTTTAGTTTTACAAAAATTGGGTGAGGGAAGGAAAATAATGTGAAGACTCTTCAGTTACAGCTTTTTATTTTTGCCATTCAGCTGTGGCTTTAATTTAGCAAGGGATATTAATCCGACCATCACAGCAAAATCGTTACAACTAATCCCATAGTAGAAATTTTCTTTTTATATCACACGATGTAAACATTGTGATTCTGAAGGTAAATTACCTGCACTTCAAATTTGACCACGTTTGAAGTAGAAACAGCATCGTTCTCAATAATGTTGGAATCATCTCCAAAATAATGGTTACTATGCACATTATTGTTAACCATTCCTTCGTGACGACCAGGAATGGTAGCAACCCACCTGCACTTCATGTTGTAATGTCCAATCTTCTTCCAACAAACATTTAATTCTTGCAAAGCTTTAAGGACCTCAGTCATTATTTCGCGAGGATGGGCTCGAGACTGTCACAAGATAATGAACAAAAGTAACTACCAAGAAGACATTAAACTACACTTTTTAAGATGGAAACTATTACAAAAATTCAGACAGCTGTTAGACATTACTTGTTAGTTCTTCACAACTGCAATATCTTATGTGCACATATCCAGAGAGGAAATAAAGTATATAAAATTCAATAGCCCAGGTAGGACACACAGAACAAATTAAACGAAGACATCCAACAAATATTTCCTCTCAGACAGGAACATCATCATGAGTGATATTTTAGTACCTGAAGCCCAAGGGCCCATTTTCTTTCGACAGGGAACTGTGGCCTGGACCCTACACCTGGATAATCCATATAGCCTGGAAATCGGTGTCCAACAACTGAAGAAGCAACTTCACTGGGATGCATTTGGTTAAAACTGGAATCCTAGCAATCAAGATATAAACCGAAAATTAATGAGTTTTGCATAGGCTTCAGTTTTAAAAGGAAATAACTACAGAAATATAGTATCAACTACCGATTCCATGGATATAAATCCACAACGAACCAAACTCAGGCTAAAAAGATATGTTTAATGGCATGGTTAAATGATAGAAACCTCACTCAAAGTACAGAAAATACTGAGATCAGTGTGATGAAACTCGTATTACAGAAACCAAACTCATGACCCCAGTAGCTCATTGAGGAGTTAGTTTCCCACCCCAAAGTTTTCCCTGCCCTTTTATATTCTATAACAGATTCCCACCTGTTCCTAACCCATCTCCCACTGTGTTAAAAAGTCATTACAAAGCTCTCTCCCCCCACCCCCACCCCCTTTTCTCACGTATCCAAGTAGGAATATCCAAGTACCCAATTCCCTGCTGTACCTTCCCATTATCCTGGCTTGCACCCACATAATGCAGAGGTTCCAAACATATACTCATAATATAACATGCACTCATACATATAACAACTAACCCAGTTTGCATAGGGATACAATATACACAAATATCAGAAAATACATGCCATATTTCTGCATCATTAGCAGAGATAAATGACTTAATTAGAATATAGAAACAGACTGCTAACAAAATATTAAAAAAATAGGGGTTAAAGAAACACACCATGGACTCTTGAAACTCAGCTCCAAGATAGCCACTTGAAACACGGAATCGGTTGTCCAATAACAAATAGTATGCCACAGTACCCTGAAATATACGGATGGTAATAAGAGATAATATGGTAGGTGTAAAAGGAGAGAATCATAGACACAAACCTCATTTTGTATTCTGTTCCGAAGAGATTCAACCAATTGATTCCTGTCAAATCCCATCTTCACCACTTCTTGAAGGATCTCCTCATCAATCTACAAAACCATGATATCATTTGGTTTATAATTTGAACTGATTATAATATATGAAGAAACATTCGCATAAGAATGTCAAATGTATATGAATGTGAAGTGCAAAAGTTTGAAAAAAGAAAGTAGCTGAAAAGATACCGAACCCTTAAGAATTGTGAAGTCACTCAAGGTTTGAAACCAGGCATTTTCACTTCAAAACAGTATTTTCAACTACGTTTCTCATGAACCATTGATAACTTACAGAAGAGTGAAAATGGAAAGACACATAAAAATAAACCTTTTTGGCTTGTTGCAATGTATCTGGTGGTGGCACAGCTAAATAACGCGGAAGTCGAGCTTGAAACCATGGGTGTTGACGGATCTCAGGTATGGTCATTCTCCTCATAGGATCAACCACAAGCATCCCTGGTATCAAATCCCTAGCACCAGGTGATAGATGACTGGGAAGGGTGTATATCCCACCCTACATGAAAAATTTGGTTAAAAATCTCTATGATGATAACATTTTAAAGAACAAATTTGCTTTGGATTATGTGAACTAAAAAAGATCAATTATTATATAAATTATATTAATATGAATTAAAACAACCAATGTTTCATTCAAAATTGTCAAGATATCCTATCGTATGAATAAAGAACTCAAAAATGAAACATGTGCATCTGTGAGGGTTCAGAAGATAAAAATGACGAAAAAATGGGCAAAGCAAAAAGAAAACGCACAATGCAGATATAAACCATATAAAGAAGCCGGAACTTAAAGAATGGAGCCACATATCCAAGGCCTGGCAGTTTTCTCACTCAAAATTATAAAGAAGCAGGAGCAGAAAGCAGGAAACTACTATTTATTTAATATTTATTAATTAATTAATTAAATAAAATTAACATCAATAATACCTTTATTTTCTTGAAGAGGTTTGGAATGTTTTCATCATCAAAAGGAAGAGTGCCACAAAGAAGAGCATATAAAATTACACCACAGCTCCAGACATCCACTTCAGGTCCAGCATACAATTTCCCAGAGATAACCTGTGAAAAATGACAAAGTGTAACCAAAGAAATACAAATCACTAGACACAATTTATAACCCACACACACACACACACACACACACACACACACACACACACATATATATATATATATACACTAAACAATAATCATCGTCATGTATTCCATTACAAACTAAAGAATTCCAAACCTCAGGAGCAGCATAGTTAGGGCTTCCACAACTGGTCTTGAGAAAGTGACCATCACGCATGATGTTGCTCAAGCCAAAATCAGCAATCTTGACATTACATTTGGAGTCCAAAAGTAAATTCTCAGGCTTCAAATCTCTATGAACCACCATATTCCTGTGACAGTACTCCACACCAGAGATTATCTGCTTCCAAAATCAGAAATTAGCTTAAATAATCTGTGACAAACTTCTCTACTCAACTTCAAAAAATGGTAAACAATCCTACCTGTTGAAAAAAATTACGAGCTTCATCTTCCTGCAACCTACCCTTCTCAACTATGTAATCAAAGAGCTCTCCAGATTTCACATACTCCATAACAACATATATGTCTGTTGGAGTTTCTATGACTTCATATAGTCGTATAATGTGAGGATGCATGAATAATCTTAAAATTTTAATTTCTCGTCTCACTGCAACAGGTTTTGGAAAAGGAAAAGTGGGAAAAGAAATTATAAGTAGATTTGATTAATAAAAGACTAGCAGGAGGAAAACAATAATAATCGTCCTCAAACTCCACACCATTATAACATAAGGATAAAAGGATTAGGAATATACGTAGTTTTTGAATCTTAAAAATCAATATTCACAAAATAAAGCAAAAATGCTGCAAATATTGGAAAAACTAAAAAACCATAAGGACCACAATCAGATTATGATTCAAATTTATTCATAAAAAATAATACAAACCTTTTTCTTCCATTTCCATGCTCTTTATCTTGCGTCGATTAAGGATCTTGATCGCAACCTTATGACCAGTCAATACATGTTCTGCAATTTTCACCTTGCCAAAAGATCCAATCCCAAGAGTTTTTCCCATTTTATAATTTGGTAGAAACATGTCCAGGCCAGCACCACCTCGACCAGCTGGTCCATCCATTTCTAAATCTAGAGGCAAAATTGTTGAAGAAACAACACAAAATCAGGCATGTAAAAGTATATCCAAGTATAAAATGCAAAGTATATTGAAATGTACATTAGATGCAAACATCAAAAGAAGAATACTAGAATGAATAGAAGAACAAGCAAAATCATCCATGAGCAGTCACAAGTTTTACAAGCAACTCAATTGTCATCCCAACTGCACTTTTCTTTGAGGGTAAGGACTGATAATCCAATTCACACCAACCTTTCAAAACGAAAGAGGGGTTCAGAGAATAAACAGGGATAGCTATCATTGTGCAGCCTACACTAAGAGGATGAAAAGAAACTACAACTCTTCAATATAAAAGTCTATGAAACTTATGGTAAACAGAAGCAAAACAGAAACCTCTCTGGATTCAAATGAGAAAAAAGAAAGGCAGAGAGAGAACTCTTTGAAAAGTACAGAACACTTGAGGCTACCTTGACACTTGGACCATAAAACAGAAAAAAAAAAAAAAAGAACAGAGAAGACACACCACAGCTATGCTGGAAATAAAAAGAAAACAGATACAGAATACAACAGCCATAACATCTGATTAAAGAGGGCCTTTTAGGAATTCCAGTAGCACCACTCTATCCTGCCACAATCCATGCAGTTTCTGCCACAAAAGCAGCACAATGGCAGCCAATTTAAGAGGCAACCACAGCACTGTGGGCTGATATTAATAACCATTAATTATAAAATAAATTTTATTCCTATATAGCAAAAGAATGCACCTACTAAACAATATAGCAGGAATGAACAGAAAAAACTAAAAAAAATATCATAATAATAGAATCACCATGGCCTCTTGCATATTTTTATTTTTTATTGGTATTGCAATCATAAACAGGTGGCACATGGCTCAAAGGCAAGGTTACAGACATGTGATTAATAATCATTGTTTAAAGTAGCTGAAGAAGTTCCTCTAAGCTCACAGGGTAAGGCTGCATCGCATGCATCTGCCAGATCCCACCAATGATGGAGCCAAATGCACACGGATTTGAATTCTAATCTATTATGTCATAGATTTGAGAAGATAATTTACCTTAAGGGAGGTGAAGGAACCAACAGAAAAGGGTATAGGCGGCCAGATAAGTTATAATTTGTGAGAATTCATAGTTTAATGGATAATTAATCCAGTGTTTGATGCACAGCTGAAGAAAGATTTCACTTTTACCCCAAAGGTGAAGGACACCCTTAAGGTGCTACGGGGTCGAAACTCCTTCTGACAACAGGTGACAAAATGCAGACACCTCACTGAACGAAGTAGAGCATCTACTTCAAATTGATTCCCTATCTAGAACCCAACCAATGTAGGGCTGACTCTCCTGCATTTAGCAAACCATCCAAATTCAGGGAATGGACAAACTGACAATGATACGAGTTAACATAGAGGAAAGTGCACTTTTGAAACCCAGGATGTTAGGGAATAGAGCATCAGCTTTAAATAGGAGCTTCATGTCCCACACCCAGCTAATGAGGGTCTCAAGCTCCAATATTGACCTTAAAGGCAAGTATTAAAATTAGAGAAGAAAGAAAGCAATAAAAGATTTGACTATTTTGTACTTTGCATTAATTTGCACTCATATAAACTATTCAAGCAACACATTTGTAGTACAAACTAAAGGAAATATTAAACTGTTCAATTTCTAAAACCTGTAAAATACTTTCCTGTAGAAGTCCTGAGGTGGACATATAATCAATTCCACCATTTCAAACAACTGGCATCTAAGGTTTTGCACAACAAGGATTAACATAGTTATTAACATGGTAGTAGAGTTGGTTCAAATCATGAATTGGAAGGTCTATTTTCTGAAACACATCAAACCATGTCGTACACAGTAAGATTCATGACCAACAATAACACATAGCATGAAAACTAGCAAACACATTTAAAAGCACACATTCATTACTATAAGTATAACTCTAGGAGCAATTTAACATAAAGAAATGCATAAAACATCAAAACACACACACACACACACACACACACACACACACACACATATATATATACATATATATACATTCCAAAGTCAAATAGCTAGCAAAGTGACATATAAAGCTCCAAAACAAACAAAGACCCAAATCATAATGCGTGGCCAGAAAAATCGTAGCTGCTGCTAACAAGAGGAGCACAGGCAGCACAATAAAATACAAAGAAAAGGAGGAAATAAGAGTGGTTCACTCTGCTTCATCCGAAGTAACAAAGAACGGGTGAAGAAATGAAGAGGAGACAACAAGAATGAGTGAAAATATGAAAAGTTACAGTGGACAACCCTGGGCTGGGTCAGACTGGAGGGTAAAATTCAGTCTGTCCATCTCGATTTTCCTAATTCTTCAAAAATAGATATTTTCAGGGGCACATGCAGTTTTGCCAGGACCGCACAATTCATGCTTGGGATGTGATTCATCAAAATTTTAAGCACAAAAAAACTCAACACACAACTCATATAGTCAAGGCCTTGAATCATATCGAATTGTGGGTCGCACTATCCTAGTAACAGCAGTGGTTATTAAATATCCTTAATTTGAGGGAATATACCTGAATTTCTCTAAATTAACCATTTGCTTTGATAACACTCTCTCGTTCCACTTATTGGAGATACAAAGAGATCAGATGAAAATCCATAGTAACAAAATTAAAACTATCTTGATTTTTGAAATGACAAACAATTTTAATGGGTTAAGAAAGGAAGATATATGTAAATTATCCTTGATTTCAAATCTTATGCCACGTGGAACTTATGAATATATACTGAATAGAAACAAAACAATTATATTGAAACAAAGGATTATATTTGACCCTGTTTAAGTATCACAGTTAGCAACTTATATCGCCGGCCTCTAACTGTGTTCCACAATTACCAAAAGAAGCACCAGACACCCAGCATAAAAGCAACCCTATGTGCCTCATTGATCCATTCTGCGGCCAAACCTTAGGAGCACTCTTTCCAACCATGAATAAGCAACTAACAAACTAAGAGGGACAGATTTTTCAAACGTTGGCATCTACCATTAAACACCAGTTAATGTTCCAATTTTGTCTTCGTTGGAAGTATATAAGCCATCTACTGCTCAAAAAATAATGGTGGTACATATAATAATAGTAATAATAACCACAGTAATCAAAATGTGAAAATTGATAGACAGTAATAATAATAATACATAAAGAAAACAATAATAAATGAATCCGTTCAAATATTAAAAAAAAAAGGAGAGAAAAATAAAAAATAAAAACAATAATCTTAGAACAATTCAACTGAAAATTAAATTAAATTAAATTTTAAAAAAAAAAAATTCTTCGCAATCGTAGCCATTTCTTATCCACATGCAACGCAAGCAGAATCTCAAATCAGTTAATTGACAAACTTTCGATTGAATTGCTTATGTTCCCGAAAGTAAAGTAAAGAGAAGAATCATCTCAGCACAAAAAAAAAAAACGAAATTAACGGAGAGAGCAAGAGAGAGAATTGTTTGGGGTAGAGAATGGAGAAGGGACAAGGCTCACCGGAGTGTTGTTGGAGTGAACGGAGCTTGGGAGTGAGGAAGAAATTTTAGATTAAAGGAACCCTAAAGTTGAAGATTGGGAAGGGGAAGAGGAACAAAAGCATCGCGTTCTCCTTCTATGTTTGCATCTGCGTCACCGATGCTATTACACGACAAAAGACGGTGCGTTTAATCTCAGATGCTTTGGTTAATTGTTGGATTCTAGAATTCTAAACCATCTATTTTTAGTACGTTATTACCATATTACCCATGATAACAAGAAATAAGTGTGCATCATAATTACAATGTTACCTCTTTAGTTGATTTTTCCCACCAAGTGAATCCTTCACTCCTAAAGTTATCTCTAATCTCTCTCAGTTAAGTGTCAATATTAATTGATTCTAGATATGAATAATATGACGTAAAAGGAACACTATATTTTATTTTATTGGTTTTTTAAAATAACAAGTAGTGATGAACATGGTGTAAAAGTTATTTAAGTGGTCAATTTTCAAATAATCGTAGGGTTCCTTTAATGAGAAAACAAAAGAGAATTTATTCGATTAAAAAAAAAGCATATTAAAAGTTGCATAATAATTAATATGAAATCGAGCAACTTTAAACATCAAACAGTAGTAATTAATTATGTACACAACTTTTTATACCAACTATTAATAATAAACATACAAATATTCAATTGAAACATGAAATTTTGAATTATTCCACAAAAGACATTACATAATAAGACAATTTACTTCACATAATGTGCCATTTGTTGAAAAGGTGTTTGACTCGTTACATTGTATGTTGTGTTGGAGTATGGAGAGAAGGTTAAAGGTGAAGTTGGAACCATGGGTGCTGTTGGATCTGAAAAATGGTAATCCTTTTCATAGGGTCTACATTAAGCATCTTTGATATCAAGTCTCTAGCTCCATCAGATAGGTAACATGGAAAACTGAAAACCCCTCCCTGTAGAAAAAGAAAGAAAATAATTCAAAGAAAAAACTTTTTTTCATAAATAAAATTAAAAATACCTTTATTTTGTTGAAGAGATTTGGAATATTTTCATCATCAAAAGGTAGAACTCCACAGAGAAGAAAATATAAAACTACACCACAACTCCATACATCAACTTCAGGTCCAATACACAGTTTTCCACATATAACCTGTGAAAAAAGCAACAGAAAGTAACCAATAAATACATTTCACACAAAACTGAAAATGTATATCCTCTAGCAAGTACATTGGTAGTGTCTTTATATGATTATCATCATTACAGATCATAAAATTTCAAACCTCAGGAGCTACATAGTTAGAGCTTCCATAACTTGTGTTCAGAAAGTGACCAGCATGCATGATGTTGCTCAAGCCAAATCCAGAAATCTTGACACCGACTTTGATGTCCAGAAGTATGTTTTCAGGTCTCAAATCTCTATGAACCACCATGTTGCTGTGACAATGCTCCACTCCAGAAATTATCTACTTCCAAACATATATATCATAAGTAATAACTATAATTTCAGGGACAAGTTTCTCAAAAAGATTATGGATCAACTTTTTTATTTTTAGAAATCTTTAAATAGAAATTGGTTCAAACATATATAAAATCTCTTACCTGCTGAAAAAAATTTCGAGCTTGATCTTCTTCTACCCTACCCCTCTCTATTATGTAATCAAAAAGCTCTGTAGATGCATGCTCCATAACAACACATATGTGAGTTGGAGTTTCTATGACCTCGTAAAGTTTTATAATGCGAGGATGGTTGAGCAATCTTAAAATTTCAATTTCTAATTTCACTGCAAAACAATTTCAAGAAAAGGAAAAGGAAAAGGATGGTAAAGTATATTTAATTGAAGAGACTATAATATCAAACATGCAGGATAAGAAAATCAGTAAGATTTTCCCCCAAACAATGCACTAATTATTAAAGAAATGGCTAAAATTTTTAAAGTTCGTGTCATTTTTATTGCTTTTGATTTTTGAGATTTGTCAAATTGTCATACACTCGAATCTTTCATCTCAAAATCATTATTCAATCGCTTGTTTTTGGCTATAATATGTACACATAACAATAACTATATTAAAAGTTAAAACGTTGTACAAAATTATAAAATAATGAAAACATAAAAATAATTCTTTAGCAAACACATATAGGATGATATTATTTAGATTTTTCTTTTTGTTAACGGATTTAGATAAAGAAACAATTTAAAAAAAATGCATAAGTTAAACATAAAATTTTAGAAAAACTAATACGAATTTTTTTTGTAAATTATGTTTATATAATTTATATGAAATCTTAATTTCAAGTCTCACGGCTAACTATTACAAAATTATGAATCAATCAATATATTCAGTAAGCAAAATTGCAAGAAAAAGAAGGAAAATAAAAACAAGAAAATATAAACCTTGTTCTTCCATTTCCATGTTCTTTATCTTGCCACGTTTAAGGATGTGGATGATAACCTTCTTCCCAGTGAACACATGTTCTGCAATTTTCTTCTTGCCCAACATGGATACAAAGGCAAGTGTTTTTCCCAATTTATAATTTGTTATAAACATCTCCATGCCTGCACCACTATCTTGTCCAACTCCTCCATCCATTTTTCAAATCTAGAACCAAAATATACAAGAAACAAAGCAAAAATATTATCTGTTTTCACATGCATATTAAAATAAATAAGATGCGATATTACGGTGGTTTGTAACAACAAATCATAGAAACAGAAAGGTTTGGAATTGAAAATGGAAAACAAGGCTCTCACCAGTTACCAGGGTGTTGATAGAGTCAACGGATGGAACTTTGGAAGTGACGAAGATGAGTTGTTTAAACAAATAATGTTTCGTTGAAAAACGATTGTTTTAAACCTCAATCCAACACATACTAAATCATGACATGGTACTTTCCTATGATATACTGACAACATTTCCAACGGAGTAATTATAAGGTGAAGTTCTTCATTTTTTTCAATTTTGTCTTAATTTCAATTAGCATAAGATTTTAAAAATTTCTAAAGTTGTTTCAGACAAATCACGAATTCCATCCAAATTTATTGTAACAATTTCTACCATTTTTCTTTTGGGGTGTTTGAAAGTACAAACAACGTAGACTGATAGAATCTCGTGATTGATAGTTTCAGCCGCGAATCATATGAGATTCATGAATTATATATGTAAAGTGGAGTAAACTATTTGTACCCCCTGCTTTTTTTGTTCTTCACCCCAACTATTATGTTTTATATTATTTTCTACGAGAGCAGAGACATCACGAAACTAATTTTTATGATGTAAATAATTATTTATTACATGTGTTTAAATTTGTATATTTTAATATATAATTTAATAAATTTTATTAATTGGATAACTTATTATGAGTAAATATAACTTGATTCTCTTAACCTAAGAGTTTAAAGTGGATTAATTTGTACCAACCTTTTTTAATATTTTAAAATTTTGCAAATTTACTTCTTTTTTTCTATTGTCGCATATAGTTTTTCTTGATATTTAAATTGTATTTAATATTCTTATTCTTTTATTATTTATTTATTTTAATCAAGTGAACAAGGACGAGTCATGACTTGCTTCAAGATGTACACCAAAAAAAGAGAAGAATTTCCAACTGGAGATTCTTATTCTCTTCTTCTCAATAAGAATTGATGCCTTAAAAGATTCCTTTAGCTTATCTTTCTAAAATCCTTTTGAAGTATCAGGTGCGTATACAAGCACTACTGCTATTTGTTAAATATTTATAGAAAAGAAAGTTTAAAGCAATGAAGAGGTTGATAAAATGTAAGAGTTTGTGATTATTATAGTTTGATAAATGGATTGGGGTAAATAGTTAGTAGTAAAAAGTATAAATGATGAGTAAAAAACAAAAACAGATATTGGAATAGTGATGAACTTATAAAAAGCATAGCAATTTATACAACAAACATAAAAACATACTTGTAATCTTTTTTTTCTGAATTTTCTTTTTCCCTGCATAACTTGTCACATTCTCTTTTTTTTTTTTTTCTGTTTCTATTTATATGTCTTTCAGTTGATTTAGAACTAAACTTGATGCCGTATATGTAAGAGATTCATTAGTCTATGATCTCATATATATACTACTCAATCTTCAACTAAGCCTTATTCTCCCATCATTAATCATTTTCTTTATTTATAATAAAATAACAATAACAAGAGTACAACGTGATCATATGATTGGGAGAAACATCATTGATGGATCTGAAAAATAATAAAATAATAATGCACCCAAAAGATTGCTATATCGAAGCACTAACAGAAAAGTCCACACAGAAGTAATTACCTGTAGTCAAAAGATACACAGAATCTCTAATAAGACGACAAATACAATTATTGAGGGTTTCTTCATGGTGAATTGTTAATTACCTGAGAATTTTCTATTTTTCTTTCTATTAATTGTTGGCATGTGCAGTGCTGATATGATGTAGAGCGTGTGCACTGGGGCGGTTGCATTAATCCAAATAAATTCTCTTTTACATCTACGTGCGTGCTGCTGCACGTGCAAAACTGCACTTGCATGTGATGTGAAGAAGAAGAAGAAGAAGATCCTTCTTCTATATCACATATTTATGATGCCATTGAAAGTATAACAAAGCTACCCTACCCTATATAGTAATTGATTAAGTGTTTCTCATGTGTCTTTGCCTCGTTCTTTGTTTTCATCTTCAACGGCTATATGTTTTTCTTTTGGTACCACTGCTCTTGGTAATGCAGAAGTATATATATATATATATATATATATATATATATATATATATATAATATAACACAACAAAATTTTCAAAAAGTTCAAATTAATTAAGAAGCAGTGTTATTAACAGCAACTGAGTAATTGAATGACAAAACCTTCTATGTTTAGCAAAAGAATCTGTAATTGAATCCTCATTATATACAAAAATCGTCAAAATAGCAAACTAGAACAGTACATGTGACAAAAATAATCCTTTAGTTTCTAAATTTCTATAAAATTAATTTCATGACGAATTAATTGATATATTTTAGTCCCAACTTGGTTTGAAATTTATCCACATCATGCATGCCAATTTAGTTTCTGGGCTTCTTACTTTTATGATATTCAGTTTCTAGATTTGGTCAACTTCATATTAAAAGGAATAAGTGGTCACCTGAACCACTAACTTATGATCTTTACCATTAATATAGGATTCAAAAAATCACTAAACATGTAGGTTGTTTAAGTTTTTACTTATTAAGTAAAAGGATAATATCCAAAAATTGAGAGGGATAAAATAGAATAATTAAGATGAGATGAGATGTTGGTAGTACAACATGGCTGCTAACATGGGAACTCTTTTTATTGTTTATGTTTCATTGGATAAATCCAGCTATATATCTCGTGCATGAAGAGCTAAACTCAAGGGGAACACCACGTCCAAACAAACATCAACACCATTCCCACCTTCACATCACGGAACCTTCCACTTTTTGAATATATATATGTAGCTATTATTATCAGCACCAAAGTTTGTTCAAACCCCTTCATCTCTCTTTCTAGTTCTTGCTTCAACATCATCAATGATTGATTAGGTGGTTTGTAACACAACAATTATTGCAAGGAAGACACATAGAAGGTGTTGTGTTTTTGCAACGCTTTGGATCCGACATAGCCCTTGTCGGACCCACCTACACACGTTCTTCCTTCTCCCTCTCCCTTTTGAGTTCTTCATATTTGTCCCTGTTTGCATGGAGAGGAAGATCACATCCCACCCCACAGATCTCCCATAGGTAATTCTTTGTTGTTGTTTTATCATTAGAGGTATCAAACTATGAATATTCAACATCAACATTAGGTTGGTATGAATAAAATTAGGAATAGATCTCTTGATCAAAGTTTAAAGTTATAATAAGTATGGTAGATGGAAAACATAATAGAGAAAGAAAATACTTCACTGAAAATCATCAATTCACGAAAATAGTCATCAAGCAAAGACGATGAATACTTTATTTATATAATATGCAACAAAAACACATCAACGTCACACCCCAATTCTTACATAGGCAGGTCAAATCGAGTTATTAGTTTGTTGGCACCATTCATGTTGTTTTTTATTTTATTTTATTTTTATTTGTATGTTGAGTTGGCCGGTCTTTCGCATCTTATCTGCTACAGTTCTATGTAACTCTTCTGGTATGAATGTCAACCATGATGGCATTTCTTTTGGCTACAGTTCTATGTAACATCTTATATGTATTTTTCTTCCTATATAAGTGGCTAAAAAAAGGAACTCCAAAATTATTTTTGGTTTGTGTATTTTTTATTCAGAGAACATTTGAAGGAAGGAATTCCAGTATGTTTCAGATTTTTCTGCGCTGTAGTGTTCTTCTTTGTTGTTTGTGAATTCTGCATGTTCTTTTGCCTGAGCCATTATCTTGTGTTCCACTATTTTTTATTATTATACCTTTTTTCTTTTCACATAATATTTCACGTTATACAAACATCCTTTTATGTAAACAACGATAACATTTATTTTTAAATCTATACTATATCATATTAATTTTTTTCTGTACAGATGCATTGTACACAAAAATAATAATAACTTTTCTCTTTTGAAGGTTGTTATTATGTCATTTCTCTTTTCTATTCTTTACATGCTTTATGTTTGTCTGATGTCTCACGTGATGATCCTTTGCTTTTCTTTAGCCTTTTCCATATATATGTTAGTGTATCTGCTCTCCCTTTAAGGAGACAACAGTAGTTTCCTTGAAACAACCTTGAAAGGAAAACCTCTCTCCATCCATGACTCTATGTGTACTATAAATTTGTTTTGGTTGTGGCTGTCTTCATTGGTTCATCAGCCTTCCTTTTTCAAAGTGTTGAGTTCCATTTTTTTTCTTCATTTCCTCCATACAGTGCCCAAAGGTAAAAGCAAACTTCATTTCCTAGTTATGAAAGCTTGTATTGTGGTATATTATCTTATATAATATCCCATGAAAATTCTTCAAATGTTTTCAGGGGAAAAATAGTTTATCATTACATTTCAAATTGTTATGTACCTTTTATTGGTTTCCTTGTTCAATATTGTTTTTGTCAACGCTGTAATTTTAGTTGGTCTTCATTTTTTACACTTTTTTATCTTCATTCCTCTTTCATTTTTGGTATTAATTATGTGTTGTTAGTGAACAATAGACGGTAGTATCTGTTTATCTTCATTTTATGGGTGTGACATAAAAGAAGAGGAAGTCACTAAGGCAGCCATGAATGGGGAAGTTAGAAGAATAGGAAGAGAGAGAGATAGGAAGCTGAATAATAAATGGAAAAATAAGATCAGTCATTACTTTGTGCAGTTGAAGGGTAAGTGTACACCATATTGCTTTTATATACGTTAAAGATTACAGAAACAGATGATCCTATTTGTCCACACGTTGTAACTCAGTGAAGTTTATTGCTAAAATGTAGCATTGATTGATTTATATTAATGTTTACTGTTGCGAATTCTGTCCATGGAATTGTCAGAATCACTGCATGTCACCTTCCTAGGCTTCATTTTGTTTTCCAACATTGCTTTGATTTACTTTCTCCAGAATTCCCTTTCATATATTCTGCAGGTTTTGAGGTTTGT